TAGAATTGTTAGGAAATCCCAAAATTACAGTCGAGCAATTCCCTTTCTGCACACCTTTGTATCGTAACATGGACAGGACATTTAACAAAATTCCAAACTACCCCTTGAGACCGAAACCAGGGAAGGAATTAAACAGCAAAGGTATAGGCTCGCTCGCCTGTTTTTCTCTCGTTCACATTGTTCCACAAATGTCATCGAAAAACCGATGCGCAAACTTTTGTAAGAATCAGGTACGTGGATTCAATAGGTTTGCACAGCGGTTTTTCGATTCATACCTCAAAAAACCCGAAAAAATACACAGTCAAACCTTAACAAAATTCATAACTAGTTACAGCTAGTTGATTTTAATTGTGTTTAGCCTCAGGGTAACAGGCTTGTGAAGGGGGCACTCCTTCACAGCCATCATGCTCTGGTTCACTCCCAACTCAAAACTCCTCGTTGAACTTCATTGAAGATTTAAAACATGTCCATGTATATTGGTGTTTAATTGGCAGCTCTCTTTAACAAGAATGATCTTAATTTGTTTTAAATATAAGTTAAAGAAATTGCAATTTCAATTCATATTCTGCCAAGCAAATTTGTGTAATTAACACAAGTTATGGTGAAATATTGTATTAATTATTTCCATTCCCCAACAGAAATGAACATTCTTAAAATGATTGGAAGCAGTACATTACGCAGTGAAAAAGCCAAAAGCTGACCTTAAAAAGAACACTAATTAGTTTAAGGGTCATTTAGTCCATATCACAATCACTAATAATTTTCATTTCTCAATACACTAATATCATTATAGTAATGTTTAACTGAGCATATAACCTTAGCTGACAAAATCACTGCCACCATACTCTGATGCATTTTACAAAAACAGTTGTTGTCTGATGATTTGAGTGATGTGAGTGACATCATGATCAATCTCATTGAATAAGTTTTTTACTCTGTTGTGATAAATCTCAAAGTCAAGATGTGGAAAACATTCCACTGGAGGTCATGTCAGGTGAGCTTCCAGATCAGTCAATCATCTGCATGATTTCTTAATCCTTGGTATCAGCAAGCTACGTACTCAGACCAGCTTATCTGTTTGTTTGTTTTCAAAAAGGAAGGTTAATGGACAGTTCTGAATGTAGAATACCGGTCATGATATGTCGCGGCTATTTGACATCCTGTAGCTTCTAAACATCCAACATTGTATACAGTAATACTATCTGGCAATGTTTTGTGTCTGTGTGGTGCTAGGAGGTTAACAGTCACATAACCATCTCATCCTACCAGGTACCCATTCACTGCTGGGTTAACAGTCACATTACCATCTCATTCTACCAGGTACCCATTCACTCCTGGGTTAATAGTCACATTACCATCTCATCCTACCAAGTACCCATTCACTGCTGGGTTAACAGTCACATTACCATCTCATCCTACCAGGTACCCATCCACTGCTGGGTTAACAGTCACATTACCATCTCATCCTACCAGGTACCCATCCACTGCTGGGTTAACAGTCACATTACCATCTCATCCTACCAGGTACCCATCCACTGCTGGGTTAATAGTCACATTACCATCTCATTCTACCAGGTACCCATTCACTCCTGGGTTAATAGTCACATTACCATCTCATCCTACCAAGTACCCATTCACTGCTGGGTTAACTGTCACATTACCATCTCATCCTACCAGGTACCCATCCACTGCTGGGTTAACAGTCACATTACCATCTCATCCTAAGAGCTCCTATGGAGAGTCTGTCTGGTCCTGACAGAGAGAGGTGTCAAATCAGAGCAAAAGACCTGGATGCCATTGTTCAAAACAACCTTAGCAACACGACTGTCGCAAGTCTAAGTTAAGGTATGTGAGTTACGATCACCTTAGCGCTAAGATCCGCTTCGTACAATGGCACCCAGATCTTATTGAGCTAGAGGTCACAACAGTGTATCAAAATATCAAACATTTGAAAGATTCTCATCCAAACAGACAACACGAAAAGTCAGTTCTGAAGTCAATAAATTGTCAAAACGTTTGTCTTTCTTTGTTTTTGTTTATGTAGAAGACGATATATTCCATTAGTATCACTGTGGCCTTCAAATAACTGACCCTAGGCCAGACGTATTAGTCGCTGGTGTGATGACACGCAATCAATCAAGTCATCGAGAATGACCACCCAAATTTAAACACCTCTTATGACAAGCAATTAAACGCCGGGGGCCAATTCTAACCTGGTTCCTCCGGGTCCAAGAGCCATGTTAATCCAGGTGCTACCATTCTGAAGAAAACTGCCACACTAACAATTTGTAGATTAACCAATTTTGATTATAGAGTAACGTCCCTTTGAATATATCTTTCCATTAGTAATTGTTCGGAAGGTGGGGTTTCCAAACCAATCAGGTTGGATTACCAGAGTTTTTAATATCAGCAAAATATCTTAGAAAGTAGATAGAATCTAAAACAACTTCTATATTTTACTGTAATGGGGTGTTTCGGTTTAGATCCTTAAACCAATGTCAAACAAGACTGACAACAGTAAGTGGATCTATACCTAACGTTGCCATTACGGTAAAATTAAAAAGTTTTTCAGAGCTCCAGATAAGCTTTTGGTGTTGTGGGTATTTTACCCATGCATTTTAAAATCATTTGGTATCAGTAATTCTATCTGGGTATTCAAATTTCTGTTACCCACTAGTTTTACACATGTGGGTATTTAAGTTAAATATTTATAAACACTATTCATCTAGTCCCTGCAAACTGGTGTCGTGTGGATTGGAGCTTTATAGGACTCAAAAATACCACGATACTTCCACAAGAAAGTGTGATGGCAAATGATCGTGATGTAACTGTCATCATGGAGTTTGGCAAGGTTGACGGAATGCCCGTTTATAATTTCAAAACAAGTTGCTGATTTGCTGATCGAATATGCAGGGTTACTGCACAATATTTTGATGATACGCACAAGTTTTATTTTTGTAGCTTATCTGTAATGTTTGTTGCGTATTTGATACGCTTGGATTATATTTTACTGCGTATTTCTGCATGTCTGATGCGTATTTTACGCAGATACGCAGCTTATCTGGAGCTCTGTTTTTATCCATAAATTGTGTCTACTTTGTCATCCGTCAACTTCTAAGAAATGCCCATCAAACAATTCAAAACATCTCACAATATGAACTGTGTGTGAGTCAGTCATGGCTGTTTGGAACAGCATTCAGGTAAGTCTTTGAATCATTGAGTATTTATTCATGTTATCGTTATTATCACATTATGTTATCACTCACAATGGGTATTTAGTACATCTGTGGTGTTCCGGTAGCTTCTAAAAGCCTATGTTTGTGTGCTAACGCAAGTGAGTCACATGACACATTACCTACTAAAAGTGACACATGTCTAAGTTACAATAAGACAGAAGTGTCACATCTGTACAAACTGAAAAGGCTACGTAAGTTATTATGCACATTAGGGATGGGTATTGGATGTTTAAAGTGTATCACAATATATTACAATGCACAGGGCCGTATTGTGATATGTATCACAATATACTGTATAATTCAAAATTAAGCATAAAGAAGCAATGCAGGAATTGAAGTTCACAAATGGAACAAAACAAGATGCTAGAACAGCATTATGTTTGATTATTCAATAAATACTCAAGGATGCACGCTCCGGGACAATGATGACTTGGTGTTACACCACTGCCACAGAAGAACTCCAGAATGCGAACTTGCATTTTGGAATTACGGAAACATTTTGAATGTACATGTCTTTGGCAAGTGTATAACATTAAACACATAATAAAAATCCTTTTTTTTTAAATCACCCAATATACCCAGCATTAAAACATGATATTGTGATACATATTGTTGAAAGAATCAATCTCAATTTACCTATATACCGGTAATACCACACACCCTTAATGCATAGTGTTATTAAACTTTTGGGTTATCAAATTTCTTCATGGGTATTTGTACTCCAGCAACTCAACATTAATTACATATTGTGATTTAGTGAATGTATTTTATGCAAATACGTAGCTTGTCTGGAGCTCAGACATATGATGGTGTGTCATTGTTGCGTGGGAGAAATTCCAATGCGACAAATGTCATGTCATAATGGAAGATGGCCAAATGAAATCTGTCAGTTGACAATATCAAACAAACAATAAATATTGTTCAGTAAATAACTTTGTTGATTTCAAGATACCTCATAAGCATGTTAAGAGATCAAAGCATAAAATGAAAGTTGATACCAATGGCCACTGGTTAGTTTTTGTATTTCTTTGGTTTGACCAATATGAAAAGAAGTAAGGAAGGACGTAAAAAATATATATTTGTGTTCAGGTTCACATGGATCTAACAGATATGGATAAGTAGGTAGTTTTTTTGTTTTTTTTAATACCGTATTCGACGTAATAAGCGCCCCGCTCTCATAAGCGCTCACGGCGATATATGCTAATATATTGGCTAGTGAACAATCAGCACCCCTTCCGATGATCAATGTACACAAGACTTATTTATTCGTGTATAATACGCACTTGTGTGTCATATCACCCTTAATTATGGGCAATTAAATTCTTGAAAAATATATCTGTCGTATGTAAACATTTCAGGCTGTTAGCATAAACCACGAAAATTACGATCTTTCAAATCAAAATAATATTCTAATAAGCACCCTCTATTTCTTATTTTGAGAGCGCCCTGGGCGCTTATTACGTTGAATACGGTAACCCTTTTAGGGAATGTTGAACAAAATGCCATGTGCAGATGGCTTGTCAGAACTGATGCTAGTTGCAATTCATCTCGAATTGTAGGTCAAAGTAACTATGGCAACAATAAAATGCAGAAAAATCCAATTTGTTTTTGAATGTAAAATATAATTTCTTGATGGCTGTTTTCAGCTGTGATTAAAACAGTTGGGTTGCAAGTGAGACAAGGGGTCAGCTGGATTACCCCAAACACACAAGTATTTGAGGGCATGGGGCCTAAGATCTTAAGAACAAATTTTAATAACCTTACCATTCAGCGTCGCAATAATGAGAGGTGTGTATTCCGTATTCCGCTCATGACAGTTTATGTCAATATGACCCAGCTCCAGACGTATACGTCCACCAGTAGACTTGGTACGGTCAGGCGGACTGACCAGTGGACTCTCTGACCACGTGTTTGTGTTTCGCTTCACGTTGTATCCTTTATCCGGGAGCAGCAGTTTCTAAAACAGGATGTATTGGGTGATATTGATGAACACTCCCAGATAAAAATGCCAGTCCACTCCCACTCACAGCCTATAGTTCCTTAGGTGAACAGAAATCGCTTATTTACATTCACAACTGTTCAGATATTTCAATATGACAAAATATTATCAATACCGAAACTATATGAAAACAATCTGCAAATAACACTTGGAGAAAACAATTTGAAGCCGATGTAAAATGTGTTCACCACTATTTTCATTCAAGGATCCATGGGCCAAGGATAGAGTTGGGGGTAACTGACACACAGGAACTTGTTATTGGTCAGTAAATAATAATTAATTTATATCCCATACGTAGTTACGTACGTAAGTAGGGACTTACATATAGGGGTATATATTATTATTTACTGACCAAAAACAAATTACATATTTGGGTATATATTATTATTTACTGACCAATAACAAATTAGGTTCCTGTGAACATATAACAACTAACCAGATCAGTAATGCGATATACTAAATACTTTTTCTTGAGACATATCTAGTTTTTATGATACTATTGAGTGGCGAACAGATTCTATAACCGAAGCAAAAATAAAAACAATATCATTCATTATTTCACACATGTACATTTTCTTAAGAGAAGAAAATAAATTTGTATTTGAAAGTTCATATAGCCAACATCTGCTTCGCTAGAGACCATATATCGATATATGCCTCTGGCATGGCTATACTTTCACAGCCGAGCACCAACAGTAAAGACATTGTCACATAAACTCTATCAAGCATCTTATCGTTCATGCCACAGGACAACCTGGGGCCGTGGTGTTTATTAGTATAAAAAAAACTACCAGAGTAACCTAAATATTATTCAAACAAATACCTGAACTTTTGAAGCGTCATTGTGCTTTACTGCTTTGATCAGGTCGCTTTCCCTTCCCATTTTCCACAAAAGAGTTGATGAGAGTCGGCCAGAACACTGTTATCGTTAACTGTCAAGTGATGAATGAGTCTTGCATGCCTCTGACATGACACGCTACGCTTTGCTTCCTAAATGTCAATCAGCGTTGATCACGTGACACGGAAGTAAACAGGAAGTGAGTCACATATTATATTCTTATCGACTAAATACAAAGTGTTAAATGGATCTCTACCAGCCTCCGTTTCCTATCTTTTAGGGATGAACACTTAACGAAAGATACTATATTTTTATCATTAGCATGATTTTTGTTTGTGTCAAATTTGAAATTCAATATTAGACAAATCACTATGATGATATAACTTGTATATATACAGTTTTCTTTATTGCATGTGCAAAGTAAATTTACAATATTTTAATAAGAGAAACCTCACACACACACACACACACACACACACACACACACACACACACGCACGCGCGCGCGACTTGGCTTAGACCAACGTGCAGACATTTGGATCATGCATTCAGCCTACAGCTAATTCTGCCTTCAGTTTATAATACTCATTATAATTTGAATGTGGCGATTAGTTCCACTTGACTGAATGTTTACTGAATACCTGTCATCCCTTTCATATAATAGACTTATCCTTTCAGCACAAATTATGCAGACCAGTCCATAAAGAAATGTGAATACATATCAAGCTATCTTGTCTCAAAACACGCAGAGAGAACTGGCTTCTGACATGTTCTGATGTTACATTTAATCTGAATTGTGACTTGACTTATTTTATGTCAAGATGACATATATGAAAATACGTGTACTTATTATCTGATCATGATATCACTGATGATAACATATGTATAATTATTTTATGTTTTCATAAAAGAAATAAGATGAATGCAATACAAATGAAAGATGTTGATACAATTGGTAACCTTTTACAAAATGAATAATCATTTCTCACCCGAATATCTTTGTAGGCTTGTACCTAATACAGTTTCGGAAAGCGAAAACTACAACTTAAGGGATAAAGCCAATCCTCAAACAGTGACGTGTAAAACAAAAGCACATGCAGATTAATTAAAACCAGCTCCGAAAAAACTTCAGAATTTGCTACCAGAAATGACAAAACTGACAACGGAGACAGTTACAAAATGTAAGAAGGGGAGATAAAGGGATACACTGGGAGTTAAATTATGCATGGTATTAACATAAGCGATTCGCTTGTTTACCGATCCATTTTCATATTTTGTGAAAACAGATATGTTTAAATCACACAAAGGAACATTAGAGTATAATTACTAAGTTCTCGCTGCCGTTAAACAATTTGTTTAGCGATAGCGAGAACTAAGATCTGATTATAATGAGATTGCTCCTCACCTGATAATTTATTTCTGTTGTCAATGTGTTAACAAAAGGACTCTCTCATTTAATTCAGTGTAGGCAGAATGAGCTGTAGGCAGAATGAGCTGTAGGCAGAATGAGAAGTCACCATTCAAACAACGATTTGCTTGACTGATTCTCAGATTTAATTAACTAGATCAATGAATAATTTATTACCCTAATTACATAAGGATAGTTTCGCAAGAGACACTAATTACCCGACCGACGCTCATGGAGCAGCGACATGCCGTCACTCAACAGGATCAGACACAACAGCTTTTTTCAATCTCTAGATCCACAGTCTATAAACATGTTATAGACCCGTGAAGATCCGGGGCAGAATAGGTCTTCAGCAACCCATGCTTGCCGTAAAAGGCGACTATGCTTGTCGTAAGAGGCGAATAACGGGATCGGGTGGTCAGGCTTGCTGACTTGGTTGATGCATGTCATCGTATCCCATTTGTGTGGATCGATGCTCCAGAGGTCAATCACTGGATTGTCTGGTCCAGACTCGATTATTTACAGACCGCCGTCATATAGCTGGAATATTGCGGAGTGCGGCGTTAAACAACAAACAACAACAACAGCAACTACAAACATGTTATAAGGACTTACTGTCAGAATCGAATCCTTAGATTTCCGGCCCAAGAGAAGACTTCCATTTAATTATTGGAATTAGGACTGACATGTTACACGGAGTCTTAAAACCGGAACGTCTTCGCTGCATGGGTTGAAAAGGAATGAGCTTTGTGGCAGTTTGTAGTTTGATTATACATATACATGTAGTACAATCTCTTTAAAATCAGCGGCAGCGAGAACTTAGATCTGATTTTAATGAGGTTGATTATAGTAGTATTGTCTTAATTGAAATTGCATCTTGATACTGTTTGATCTCATACTGGTACGATATTTATTATACTTATATCCACATGTACTTATACTTATTTTGGATTTGAAATATAAACATGCAAAAATAGCGTACTATTCGATCATCAACAGATGTTCAAACAACAAGCCCAGGACCCCTATCAGAATAGAATATTGAGTGGTTGAGTAGAATATAAATGTATGTAGCAGCTTTGTAAGTATCCTGTATTACATATCCCAGAGCATATATTTATAAAAACGCAAATGACGTGGCATTTGATGGGATAACTCAGCACATTGCTTTTTCATAAACCGAAAAAATAGGCCACGACAACTATTATTATAGGCATTATTATAGGCATAAAAGTGTAATATACATTTAGATAATTAACAAGTAATTAAAGTAATTAATAAGCATTAAGATACATTCTGATTCTATAAAAGATCAAGAGGGAGAGTTGGGGTCGGTAAGTCGGGAATAGGTAAATGTATAAAACAGGCAGCTCTGGTTACTTGAAGACTACGGGAGCATGCCGGGCCACGAGGATCCAGGGACGAGGGCAGTAGGTCGAGGGTTATACATGAACGAAATATAATTAACAGATGAGAAATAGATAAAAGGGAAAAAAATAGAGTTGGGAGGTACGGGAACGTCAGGGACTTTGGACATATATGGTCTGAGGGGGGAAAATAGTCCGAATTCCAAGGGGTAAGAAGTTACATGATAGCGAGTCCGAATAAGGTTCTGGTTATTAGAGAAGAGTGGGGAAGAACGACCTAAGGTAAGGGGGGAAAGGTGTTTGACCAATGAAATAGGAAAAAAATGGGTAAAACCTTGACGTAAGCTGGGGGTAAAAAGGACGGGGAGACCCAAGGTTCGGGGAGACTGGAGGATCCCAATTGAGCACCACGATCTCGACCTTACTCTGAAAAACACCAGTTTACACCTCCAGTATTTCGGCCAGGACTGAAGCTTTGCGGCTAAAGTCCTTAAACCATCGTGACCAGAAGTTGTTGATCAATCATTAGTGATTGAATAAACAGTCATCAACGAAAGAAACTCTTTGTGCTCATTGGGAGAACTACGGTAATTCATCCAAGGCCCTCGGGTACTGACCTTGTACCTCTCGTAACATCCCAGTCTGTCAGCACCAAGAACGAGGGGATTACCGTAGTACAGGTGAGGAGGTAACGACTGTTACCCTCCGGTTAATTAACACCAATTAACACCTGTAATTAAGGGGCGAAAAGTACCTTGGATACTATCGGACTATTGTTTCCTGATTGACTGATGCTAGAATGGGCGGGGCTTTCTGTTACATTATTGGGTAGAACGATGTCAATGATTCGTTTTGTTGTCTACAGTTTTCGTGTCAGAATTCTTAAATAATCAGTCTGTGAAGTTAATATTGTAGACGTATTTATTTATAAGAATTGACTTCAATGTGCTTTTGCGTCTGTACTCTTGTAAACGTAAAAACAGTGAGCATCGTATGCAAACTGCGGGTTTGTTTTTTACGTTTTAGTTTATTTTAATCATATACATGTTTTTATTTTTTTAATTATTATTTAGATATAAGTTTGCTTGGCAAGATAGGAAGGTGCAATTTCCAACGGGCCCTGCTTCCGTTTCACACAATTTGGTGTCATTTTAACCACAGAGGAATATGTGTAAACCCGACTCTGACAATTCCGGATCTCAATTAACACCAGAGTAAAATAATGTCATTGATTTGATTAATATGTTCATATATAATCAAGTAAAAATCCAACATTTTATATTTGGGATTACATTTTCTTAGTAAATTACAAATTCCAGTATTTACTTTTGGGGGACGTCCCATCCGGGATTCAAATCCACTCAGTCAGAGTGAGGCACTAATCGCCAGCAAACAAAGTCAGCGACCTAACCCACTCAGCCACCGCGAAGCTTCCTTAAAAATGTGTCGATTCCGGACTCTCTTCACTCTGGATTCCGGACTGAAATGGGACAAAGGGCCTATTTAATATCCACCTGACGCTCCCTAATCCGGATTAACTCTCCACTCATCTCCCTCGCACGTCCGGTAATCTGTCCTCATAAACCAACGATGTGATTACAACATACATCGATGCCGAGAATGGCTTCACTCGCAAGTAACATACCGTATATTACGGGGTATAGGTTGAAATTTGATTCTAAAATCCGTTTACAAAACTATCAAACATCTCAAATAATAATGTTTGATAAGGATTGAAAGTAAATGCGACTGTCAAGATTATTCTTTTACTTTTCTAACAAACATACTTCTCTTACTTGTCAGGTGATCTATTCTGTGAAATATCATGAAATATCTAAAAAGGCATATTCTTATGTGTAATAAGATGGACATTCGATCATTTGTATTAAAATAGTGATATTCTGACACCTTTTTCAAACACTCAACTAAGCGACGTATATCAAAGTAGTCTTTCTTGACTATCTTAATAAAACAGATGAATGTCTCAGTTTCACTCAAGGCACAAATTACAATGACCATGAACAGAGACTGGAAAGGGTCCCCAAACAGTCGAGGACAGTTCACATATAATATATGCTGTTCGGATAATAGTATTGAAGAGTGCGGTTCTAGTTTCCAAATTTATGAAGAAATTTATATTACCATTATACGAGTTTGACTATGTTTATTATGTATTTAGTATTTCACAGAAATATATTTGATGGATAATAAGACATGACTAAAAAGGTTTTAATGTTTTATACACGAATCAACATTTCTAAAATATTTGCTGCATTGTAGGAACATGGCGCCGCCCAGCAGTACAGTCGTATCCATCTGTCTCGTACTGAATATTTGCTGTTCTATCGTGATCGTCTTGTTAAACAAATGGATCTACACTCATTACGGATTTCCAAACATCACCTTGACATGCATTCACTTCATTGTCACCACATTTGGACTGTTCCTCTGCAAACTAGGGAATCTATTTCAACCCAAAAGTCTTCCGTTTCTGCAGATGTTGCCTCTTGCTTTGACATTTTGTGGATTTGTCGTCTTCACTAATTTATCGCTTGAAACGAACACAGTTGGAACGTATCAGCTGATCAAGACAATGACAACACCATGCATAATTGTCATTCAAACGTATGCTTATTCACGAAGCTTTTCTTGGAAGGTGAAATCTACCTTGGTAAGGACATTTTACGGACGTTTCGTTTCGTGGCATTAACGTGGGTGTTTTGTAGTAGTTTTTTTAGTAGTGACCTCTTGCAGTTTCACCATAACCATAACAAAATTTATTTTTGTCGCCGTGGTCTGTTTATAATTTGTTTTGAAAAGTCTAATTTAATATTGGTACTTCTGCTAAAGGTGGCACGGCGACTGCATATAGGAATTTTTACAAGCACGAATATCTGGACTCTGTATATTTAATACCTATACATTTATACATCTGATGAAATCACTTGTTTATACATATTATATATATATGTACTGCAGGAACGTTTTTGTATACAGAGATGAACCCTAGACAAAATCACAATGTAGAAAGTACCCAGGGATGAGTTCATTCAACGCAGACCGAATTGTGCATAACGCTGAATCGGATCCTTGAACACTTACATATACCACACGTCCTGGATGCCAAACCGTGGTAAAATTCAACATGGCATTATAATGATTATGTGTTGTATATGTTTCCCTCAGTAGTTCTTTACCATAAATGGATCTGAACTGTCTTAATGTTGTATGAGATGCATTCCAGTGTGCTATATAAAAAAACGACCAAAGATGAACGTACATTACTCTAATATTCCATGATGCACAGTATTATCCAGTATGCATTCGTCATCAGGCGAACCTGGTTTCGGGTTGAGGAATATGGTGAACCTGGTTATGGGTTGAGGAATATGGACTTGTCCGCCGTTTAAGGTACCAGGTACCTTTCTGTATTCTCATTTTGGTTTGTGTACAATTCTGTATACAGAAATGTACCTGGGGTATATAGCTGTAGACCCTGTGACGACAACGACCCCATCAGTGGTACTTATGGGTAATCAAATAGAAAATACAAGTTTTCCATTTTTCTAAACAGTTGTTTGTAACATGTCATATTTAGTCTTCTAGTCCTTAAATTCCTGATATGTTGTTAGTTGTTCAGTTTTAGTTATATCTGCTCCTAATTATTTGTTAGAAATAATAACAAACAATATTCTCCCAAATATACTGTGTTTGAGATGGAATTTTTGACATTTTGCACAGATCGTGCAAGTCCCAGTGTGTCATATTTGCAGCATAACCTTCTTGTCACTGTGACCTCTGCATGGTCCATCTCATACTTTAGCCGCAGTTGTTATTTCCAAATGAGATCACATGGTTTTGGGAACTACCGAAATCCGAAAAAATCTTTAATTTAATTCTTCCCATCCTAACCTGTCAGTTTTGAAAAGTGTATGGAGAAACAAGAATATGTGTTTGTGTGTGTGTGTTAAGTTAAGGCATAATGTACCTGTGTATAATAAACTATGAGATTAACTTGCAAGGACTTACACAAGCATAGTTCCCCCGATGAATGTATTAGTGACAATATGGAAATATTTATCCTTTGGCTCTGATTGTAGATGCAGGCGGATGAAGTGATCCTACTTGCAGGTTCACAGTAAAGTGCAATCTACTTCTTTCTAATCTTTAATTAACATTACCTTTTCCTTAACTGTGTAAGGTAGTATAGATGGTCGAGTGAGCCTGACCCTAAAAGAAAACTATACTATAATGTGAAAAATGATGAAAATATTCTTCTGTGTACAGTCAACATGGTCAGCTCTTGTCATACACACATTTTTCTGTTTCAGATTCCCATCACGATAGGTGTCTTTCTCAACTCCTTCTACGATGTCAAGTTTAATATCGTTGGTATTGGATTTGCTACAGCTGGTGTATTGGTCACATCCCTGTATCAAGTGGTAGGTTTCTTACACATGTTGCTGTGAAAGTCAAGGTGTCCTCATCATAACCCTATTTTTAAAACCTCCCTAATTAAGGGGTCCATAGATTCAAATACTGTAGCAGCAAACGTAAGGTACTCCAGGGCCCCACTTTATTTCCAACACTGTTTATGCGTGTAGTGTTGAAAATTAAGCATGAAAGTCAAGGGATCCTTGTCCAGGGTTCACTCTTGGATTCTTCTGACATGGGCTCTTATATGAAAAATTCAAGTATTCCAGAGATACACCCATACGCCAATTCCTCGTATTTTAAAATGTAGGCCTTTTTTCAAATTTAGGGGCTAAAAGCACAAGGCCCCACCCTAGAATTATCCCTGCTTGTCATTACCCTGATGTTAAAAGTTAGATCCTTAGAATCAAAAACCAGGACCCCTCCTTAATTTTGACACTGCAGCGTTATACTTTACAAGATTCTTTGGGTTGTTGACTGTAGTGGATGGATATATTGCATGTGAGCCCATGACATTGTATTGGCTAACCAAGCAATTCGTTTTGAATTTATGTTTCCATAAATCCCCCAAAGCTAGGTGCTGCCCACTAGGGGGCCACTGTTTTCTGATTGGCTGATAATGTGAGGTGAGGTGAAGTGGGGTTTAACCCTGTGTTTATGATTGTTGCACTAATATAGTTATGTGCATGTTTGTGTGTGTGGGGGTGCTTGTCCAGACTGATGCCGTGTATAGAACTGGCCCACTGAGATACCATGCCACAGTTTAACATGAATACCCTACTCAGACACAGTATACTGACTTCTAGTCGACCAGTCCTTGTTTTATCCCCTTTATGCAGAGCGCCAGGCAGGGTAACATCAAGTACCATCTTTTAACGTCTTTTTATATGACGCAGCTGGGGTTAAACCCCAGATGTTTAACTCTTCGGGCGGACGCTCTACTGCTAGACAACAGAGGCTGTTGATTGGCTGTTAATAGAGTGGTTGGGGGCTGTGTTGCATCATTGAACAATGTAACTGATCTCGTATTGTTGTAGCAGGTTTCTTGCGGACTAGTGAATATAGAAATTAATTTCAAAAACTGGAAATATCACTGAAATAATTATATTAAGACTAATGCCATGATTACATAAAGATTGAGTCATTTGTCTTCTGTTTCAGTGGGTTGGTGAGAAACAGCATGAATTCCAAGTAAACTCCATGCAGCTCCTGTATTACCAAGCTCCTCTCTCAGCAGTCCTCCTCATGTTCGTTATTCCGTTCTTTGAGCCAGTCCTACAGTTCCATGGGGTTCTTCACAACTGGCCCATGGAGGCGCTTGTAAGTAGCACACTGCTCATCATACAGATATCTGGTATAACAATAGGACAGGCATTAGTATTCCGGTTAAGTGATAACTGGCAACAGACTGGTTTCAGTATCTAACAAATCAGTCATGATATTGATTATTTTCAGCAACTTGTATAGAAACAATAAGATCTGATAACACATGTGGTGCAGTGTTTCTTGTAGTTGTGTTTGTGTTGAAGAGTATTGCAAAATATTTCAGTTCATTTTTTTTCGTTCTTGCAATATACAGAGAGAGAATGCTCTTTGTAACTCTAAGGACAGACCTAATGATTAGTGTGACTCTGGAGTCTTTAATCTATGATTAATCATGATACCATTACTATATTTGTGCCACATTTGACCAAGTCCACAGCCCCATTCCACTGTTTGGCCATGTGGCCGTGGCAGGTCGATTTTAAGGTACAACCACCTAAGGTAGGGTCATGTCAGAACGACCTTTCATCCGACCAATCAAAGCGTTGCTTACCAGATCATGAAAGTGACAGTCGCAATGTGTTTTCTAATCATGCAACCTCGAAAATGTTAACACGGGGATTCCGAATGACAGATTCCGTAAAATTTATCCTCTGTCTCTCGCTTCCGTTGGATAAACATTTGAATGGTGGAGACGTTGCAAAGTACGTGGGAAGCACTGTCATACAATCGCAACAATATATTAGACATTCCGGAATGTTCTTTTGTTCAGTTTTCAAAATTTTAATCGAGAACTGCGTGAACATACTTTTCTAGCGTAGTCTGAAATGGAAGTTGCCAGGTTGAAACAAGTACCCTAAAGCTTGAGAAAGCTGCTTTCTAATTGGCTGATGTTGACTTCTCGTTAGTTGTTTCAGTGGTCGGTCAAAGTTCGCGTAAGGTCGTTCTAACGTGACACATAATGGTATGTCCTCGGATCTTTGTTTAGCAGCAGCGAGAACTTAGATCTGATGTTAATGAGATTGGGATGAGATTACATTCAACACAGTTTAATGATATGATGATGAATAAATTTCCATATTGTACAGCATGTTTAATAAGTTTCATTTGAATGATAATGTACTGCAGTACTGTTTAATAACATTACAGCACATGAGGTCCCAATGAAGATCCGGGTTAGAATAGTTCTTCATCAATCTTTGCTTGCCGTACAAGGCAACTCTGCTTGTCGTAAGAGGTGACTAACAGGATCGGGTGGTCAGACTGTCTGTCTTGGTTGATGCATGTCATCGTATCCCAAATGCATAGATCGATGCTCATGGTGTCAATCACTGGATTGTCTGGTCCAGACACGATTATTTAAAGACCATCGTCATATAGCTGAAATATTGCTGAGTGCGGCGCTAAACAACAAACAAACAAACAACATATGAGGATGATGACATCAGAGTCTCATTGGTCCACAGTAAAGATCATGGTTAGGACACGCTTGTCGTAAGAGGCGACTGAGGGGATCAGTGGCCAAACTGGCTGTCATGGTTTATGCATGTCATTTTATCCCAATTGCGTAGATTGATGCTCATGATGTCAATCACTGGATTGTTTGGTCCAAAAACAGTTACTTACATACCATCATGTTGCTGTAATTTTGCTGAGTGTGGTGTTAAACAACAAACAAATCTGTCATTGGCGTCTTCATATGGAAACTGTTCTCCATACAGACAACACAATGGCTTGACTACAGCATGAACTGAAATAGATAGTCCTAGCATCGGTATGACATTCACCCATGTAATAGGCTGTATTTGTTTCAGTTGATGGTGTTCCTGTCGGGAGTGGTAGCCTTCTCTGTTAATCTTTCCATCTTTTGGATCATTGGCAACACATCACCTGTCACGTATCCTTCGTCAGTTTGTGAATGTGTATTGTCGCTTCAGCAGTCTTGTAGCTCTTTGCGGGGCATATTCTCCATAGTATTATTCGAGTATGTCACACTGAGTGAGACAGTGGACAGTGTATGTGAATATGTAGTGTTATATGATGTAATGCTTCAATCGTAAACTCTCCGTGGCATTGTGACTGACTGTTTACAATTTACATTATTTTGAGGTTTGGAATGTAGATTCAATACCTGTAAATTTCAGCTGCCTCCCTGGTCTAGTGGTAGAGCATCTGCCGGGGAGTCAAAGGTCGAGGGTTCAATCCCTGGCCGTGTCATACCAAAAGACATTAAAAGATGATACTTGTTGTTACACTGCCTGGTCCTCAGTATTAAGGGGCTAAAACAAGGACTGGCCGTCTCGGAGTGTGGTATTCATGTTAAAACCTTGGCATGGTATCTCAGTGGGATAGCACTTTTAAATCAGCATTAGTTCAGACTAGTACAAGCAGACTCACACATGCATGTACGTCGCTATATAAGTGCAATAAATTTGAATGAGACGTTAAACCCCATTTCACCTCACCTCACCTATAAATTTCATTTGAAGTCAAATGCAGTCAAGAGAATTTGAAAAAGGTAGAGGTATCAAATCAGATACCTTGCTGCGATGATGACATCATGTTGTACAGACAAGACGACCAAGATGTCACAATATGAATTAGAGAAGAGCCAAGTCAAGCTGTGTTGATGTTCCTGAAATTTACAAACTACACGCACTAAGTCCTTGTTTATCGAGTTTTCACCCTAAAGTATGTTAGCACACTTGCTTTGAATAATCTAAGAAATGCAACAATTATTTGCACCAGTTTTGAAGTAAAATGCTGGATGCCTAGATGTCATTGTAGAATAATTGTTTGAAGCAGTTTGCAGTCCTCATGTTGATGGTCCTGTGTTGTTCCTGTGTTGTTGTTCCTGACTGTGTTCAGATATAACATGGTGGGGCACCTCAAGTTTTGTCTCACTCTCCTGGGAGGCTACTTGCTGTTCCACGACCACCTGCAGCTGTTGCAGGTCTCCGGCATTCTCACCACCCTCGGAGGTACGTAGTCATTCTCACCACCCTCGGAGGTACGTAGTCATTCTCACCACCCGCGGATGTACGTAATCATTCTCACCACCGTCGGAGGTATGTAGTCATTCTCACCACCCTCGGAGGTACGTAGTCATTCTCACCACCCTCCCTGGGAGATATGTAGTCATTCTCACCACCCGCGGATGTACGTAATCATTCTCACCGCCCCCGGAGGTATGTTGTCATTCTCATAACCCTAGGAGCTACGTAGTCATTCTCACCAACCCCGGAGGTACCTAGTCATTCTCACCACCCCCGGAGGTACGTAGTCATTCTCACCACCCGCGGATGTACATAGTCATTCTCACCACCCGGGGATGTACGTAATCATTCTCACCACCCGCGGATGTACATAGTCATTCTCACCACCCGGGGATGTACGTAGTCATTCTCACCACCCCCGGAGGTACCTAGTCATTCTCACCACCCTCGGAGGTACGTAGTCATTCTCACCACCCTCGGAGGTACGTAGTCATTCTCACCACCCGCGGATGTACGTAATCATTCTCACCACCCTCGGAGGTATGTAGTCATTCTCACCACCCTCGGAGGTACGTAGTCATTCTCACCACCCTCCCTGGGAGATACGTAGTTATTCTCACCACCCGGGGATGTACGTAATCATTCTCACCACCCCCGGAGGTATGTTGTCATTCTCATAACCCTAGGAGCTACGTAGTCATTCTCACCACCCCCAGAGGTACCTTGTCATTCTCACCACCCCTGGAGGTACGTAGTCATTCTCACCACCCGCGGATGTACATAGTCATTCTCACAACCCGCGGAGGTATGTAGTCATTCTCACCACCCCCGGAGGTACGTAGTCATTCTCACCACCCGCGGATGTACATAGTCATTCTCACAACCCGCGGATGTACGTAGTCATTCTCACCACCCTCGGAGGTACGTTGTCATTCTCACCAACCCCGGATGTACGTAGTCATTCTCACAACCCTCGGAGGTATGTAGTCATTCTCACCAACCCCGGATGTACGTAGTCATTCTCACAACCCTCGGAGGTATGTAGTCATTCTCACCACCCTCGAGGGTATGTAGTCATTCTCACCACCCTCGGAGGTACGTAGTCATTCTCACCACCCTCGGAGGTAGGTACACATTCTCACCACCCTTGTACAATCATTCCCAAACAGTTATGATACAATTGTGAGACACATTATAAATATCTTGAACTATGAAACACGACTTGGGTATTTAGTTTGTTACAACAAAATACAAGCCTACGAGTTGAATACAAAATGAAATCTGAAAAAATATATATCAAATTAAGTATATTATCTCCCTCTGTTTCAGGAGTCCTTGCCTACACACATTTTAAACTGCAAGAGATGAAAGCCAAGAGTTTGCCTGTAACAGACAAGCACTAGGAGTCTTCAGTGGGGTTACATGAGGGTTTAACGTGTCATTGTGAGGTACTTGTCATTACCACAAGCAGGTCACCGAAGATGTTTCTTTCATGGGATTCAAAATCAGTCGATCATGTTTCAGTTTCATCTAGGGTGCAGTAGTACTGATACATGTGATGCGGGGTAGTCATGGCAACATCATCAATGTGAATCAGTATATTTCACCATAGAGGAACATTGTTTTATGTTTAAACAATGTATTGTTTGTTATTGGTTATGATCTTATGATTCTATATTTTTGTATGTTGTTAGTTAAAGGACTAACTATAAACATTCTTGAAGCAGTTTTCTTTCTAGTTCTTGGAAAGTGGAAACCTTTGATTCCACAAATGACCAAACATGTGGCATCATTTTTAGAAAGGGGATGAATTCAGAAAAAGATGTAATTAGAACCAATGAATTTTTTAAATTTCTTTTTAACACAACATGCTTTAGAGAGCTTTTACCTATGAGCAGCGTTCGAAATAGATGCCAGCCAGACCGTCCGAGACGGGTTGATTTCAACTCGGGCTGCCAGATTTTCAAATCCCCCTGCCCGACGGTTGGGTTATATTTCATAGGTGAAAATATTCTAAATATTTCCCGATGATAAGCATTAATTCACATGTAAAGAAGAATGATAAAATGTAACCAAAAAGAAATCCTGTTAGCTTTTAGACAACCTAACATTTAGCGATGCGCTTATGCTACAAGCAATCAGTTTTCATATTTTTAATTAAATTATCCTGAGAAACATATGATTATAGTGGGCAGGCAGGTTTTGGTCAGGGCTGGCAAGTATTTCAGCTAGCCAGTCCTGTGGTCTGGCTGAATTTTTGGGGAGTTTCATACCCTGCTATGAGACAATGTTAACTAGTCATATCAACATTTATGAGTGAGATTTATCAAGCTCCTGTTCATGTGCCAGGTTCTGCCACATCTTCATCACATTGCAACCCAGACCATCCTGCCATACCTCATCCTCTGCGCTTTATACGTGAAGGGATATGAATGCGATTTGTAATGGAGTTAAGCTTTGTAACAAAGATTTCTTTCATTGTAAAGTTATGCAGGTAGGGCATGTAGACTATTGGATGCAGTCCTTTTCCAAGAAATAATTTTAGAAATAGTTTGAACATTGTTTCAAGTTACCATTTTTGTTGCGCTTAGTTGAATTGTCCAGGAATAAACATTCTTTGCGTTAATGTGGCAATATATATGACCCTATGCCATAGGGCACACATAGAAATCACACTTACTAAAGTTTTGACCATTGTTATTGTGTAATGCCAGTGAAAAGATGAAAAATGAAAAAAACATGACCACGTTCAATGACAGGTTTTGAGATTTGTTGTTAAAACATATTCTTTAGGTTGGCACACTTAAAAAACTACATTTCTATTGGTGTTATCTAAGGTAATGTAAGACATTGATTGCATTTTATTGTAGAAAATAGAGAGCTGAAGTCTAGCTGGGCATGAATGCTTTGGGAAAGTTCTAGCCAGTACCATGTTGTGGTATCCACACACTTTGTCTAATCTAGCTGCAACCCATAGGAGATGGACATCCCTTGCAGAGGTTGGAAGGACAAATATCAGACGCTTGTCAGCGGATCTCGTGTAGGTGTCAAGTGGATTGGTGTAGGTGTCAAGTGGGTTGTATCGTCAAGGCTGCTTCCAACAGAAACATATTGTACGTCAATATTCTTGGTAGTGGGGGAGCCAAACAATTTCTTTGGGCTCAATAGTACAAGTTTTTAAGGGCATCCAGCATTATCCAGTGAATAGATATTTTGTTTGTTTGAAAAATCTTAGGTAAAAACATTCTGGAACAAATTAAAGAAGAAACTAAAGTCCCCCAGAATATTACGAAGTTGGTTCCTGTTTCTGCGTGTTACTTACACAATCTGTTGTTTTTACAATCTGTTGTCGAACCCTGGCCGAAGACCCAGGTTCGATTCCCGACATGGGTACAATGTGTGAAGCCCATTTCTGGTGTCCCCCGCCGTGATATTGCTGGAATATTGCTAAAAGCGGCGTAAAACCATACTCACTCACTCACTATGTAAGAATATTCCATGGTTACATGCATTGTGCTTCTCTAGACTGTTTATGTATGTGATAATCTTTATATTCCAGAGTTCATTTGGTTAGAAGTCAAATGTTGTACATAGTGTCCATTGTCTGCAAGTTTGTTTGACTCTCATTATTTTCGATTCTTCATTCAATTATCATCAGTACTCATATTCACAACCATTCTAGTTCATTAACAGGATTTCTGTTGCTTGTGAACTTCAAATCAAATTATGAAATCATAAATCATTCAAAATACCTCTCTTGATTTTTTTCAGAATAGAACACCTTATATATTTGAATCATAAGAGTGTTACAAATTGATTTTTAGCTTGACGATGTGTTACCTGGGTATGGTGATGTCCTTTTGCTGCAAGATTTTGGCTTCTGCAAAGTCAAGTCTATTACTGGTTATGTCACTATCTTTTAATAAGCCCATTTGAATAGACATCATTACCACTGTTGGGCTGACACCCTACTTATTAATGGTACATGTAGAAATCCCCATACCACTAATAGTGTTATTATTAGCATGCCATGTTTATGTGTCATGGGTTTGTGGGAGGATAAGTGAAAACCAAACTCTTGAAATCCTTTTATTCTCTGAGAGTGAAAAGTCTTTCTCCCTGCATTATTTTAGACTATATCATGATGTTACATTTTGTTGTGAGATGTTGACAGGAGCCTTCTCCTGAATCTGGGGTATGGCTTTGTTTGTGAGATGTCGTGAAAGAGTTATCTCCCTTGAGCAATGGTTGGTATTGGATCTGCTCATCTTGCCAGGTTTACCAGACTTCCTGGATGCAACATGTACGACCAGGGCAGAGTAACTGGAATCATGTTTTGCTGTAATATTTATAGTCTGTTTTCTTGCTGTCTGAAAAAAGCAGAATAACTAACTTACTGAAAGTCTACTTATTTCTTTTCTTAATTCCATTTTTTCATGTCTATCAAACTTTCATAAGAGCGGGTCATTTGAAACAAACTTAATCCCATATTCATGGATTGCCTAGGATTCTAAACGAAGTGCCCTTAGCAGGCAAATTTTGAAAATATTGCTCTTTTGTTAAAAATTGGTAATTGTTCTTCCTTTTTTCAGAGGGATTGCATTCAACGCAATCATATAAAATTAAGTGTTGCAGACTCTTCCTGTTTATGGGGAAAATGCATGTCACCTTGAACAAACCACCGCATCAGTTGTAACTATAGTAACTTGAATTGGTGAATATTTAATTCCCACTTGGGAATTTCTGCTGACATTTGCTGCAGGCTGAGAGCGGAATATCAGGTTCTGAGCATGTCTGGATAAGTCCCTGATATGATGATCCTGATCTCAGAGTATGGGAGCTACAGCTCATGGCTTACGAACAAATGTTTTCAAAATTGATGGACATTACTTGGTTTTGAAGTAGGCCAGTGAGTATTTGGGGATGTTTAGTCACAATGCACTTGATTCTTTCTTGTGGCTAAGGGTACCCGAAAATGACTACCGTAACCTGTATTACCTTGTGAATCTGAACCCGTCCACTCCATCACTCTGTAGAGGGACAGATCACAGGTATTAATGAACATTGATGAAGTTATTGATGGAATCATTTGTTTCCGACTGAAATGGGTGAAGTCTTTGTACAAGTCTGGACCTCATTTCACAAAGTGATCACAGCTCTGTGACTATTGGGAATCTGTATTGAGATATAAAATTACAACAGTTGTAGCGCTAGGATCACTGTGATCTGACCTGGGGCCTGTAATTGCATGATCATACTTTGACTATATAACCAGAATCTATTTGTGAGATCATATGCATGACAAGTCACACTGCATGTTACATATATTCCTGTGGCATCTGCACAGCAACCTGTAGCACAGTATGTTGGTTGGTTGGTTGCCGCACTCAGCAATATTCCAGCTATATGGCGGCAGTCTGTAAATAATCGACTCTGGACCAGACAATCCAGTGATTGATATCATGAGCATTGATCCACACAATTAGGATCGATGACATGCATCAACCAAGTCGTAGCACAGTATGTGAGGGTCAAGGCCAGATGCATGCACAGTGACCTGTAGCACAGTATGTGAGTGACTTCAGGCCAGGAAGTGGTAGATATTTAGCATGGCACAACCAGGATCTGGTGGCATGGCTCTACTTATGTCTTTCAGAGGAGTATTGACCACCTAGTATTGTAGAGTGTGATAATAACAGAGCTTGAGGAGTGAGTGGTGATGATATTGGCATCAAGGGTCAGAATTGAAGCATGAAGGGCAGTGGTAAAATGTCATGAGGGGGCCAGGTTATGAGCATGAGGGATGGGGTATGGGCAATACCGGTGGGGATAGAGTCATGAGGGCGCAGGATAGAGTCTTGACGGGTAAAAAGCCATTAGAAAATTGAAGAAAGACATGAATGGTGGGGGAGGGAGTCATAAGGTGTTGGGGATGTGTGTTTTGGTGTTATGCACAGAGAGATGTCACTGTTTTAAAAATGATGATCTCATATATTGTGGGCGGTATGAATTGGAATCTTAAAAATATAGCTTCATCATCAGATCATGAATGTTGATTTGGGCAACATTCAGGCATGGGCATGTTTTGGTTGTCAGGCATCTGCTATTTCTCATTGCAATCCATACAAAACATAGCTGTGATAATGTTTGAGGAAATTGTTTTATTGGATAATTTTGGATAGATTGTGAAATGTATTAGCCAGAGAGCATGGAGAGTTGGGGAGCGAATGTTGCATACATGTCACAAGTACATGTATTGAGATTGATGAAATCCGCAGTAAATGTATTTTTTTGTACATTTTCCATGTTAATGTTTCCAGAGTACAGATACTTGATATACTAAAGTGAAATCGTTTACATGAAATTTGTCACTGTTATTTATAAACTCAAGTATTGATTTTCTAAGAAATAATGTTTGCATTTCCTACCAATCATACACAGAAGATTTGGATTATATCACATTTCCAAACCAATCAATACTGACAGTGACCATATCTTCCAACACTCCAATGCTCCAATGACAGGCAGCAGAAGATGGATGGCAATCAACTTATTGGGTCCTTGTACAAGTTCTGGTGATATCAGATATTATTATATAATTTGATGAATACTATAGTTTTAGCTTTGCTTTTTTTCAGTCAAATGTATTTATTTTTACTGTTGCCAAGATTTGAGGGACAATAAATTTTTATTCATTCCTGATGTTTCTTGTTATCATTATAAAGATGGATACATTATAAGATGATCTGGCACTGCTGGCCCAGTCATCCAAAACTCTGTAATTGGTTGTACAGAGTTGCATCCCTTAGGTGTGCCAGGATCAGATGATCATGGGTTAGAATTCCAGATTTGCTCTGATTGTGATCGTTATTTGTCATCACTGCAGTATTTTCAACTACAGAAATTTCAAGGATAGAGGCAAGCCAGTACTCATGACCAAGGAGTGCTTAGGTTTCACTGAAAAATATGGCAACATTACTTGCTTGACAACATGTGCAATAGCTTCTGCTGGTTGTTTGTGATTGAGTATCATGGTCAGCTACTCACATCAGCTGCTGGTGATTGAGTGAAGATGCTGTGATAAACAGTAGAATAACCAGGCAGCTGATAGACAGGCTGTGAGGGAAATGTCAACCCATCAGTCAGCAATATTCCAGCTAATTGTTATAGGGCAACCTGATTATGATCGTTTTCCGAGACTTACTATTTAAAAGTCCAGTTTGGAATGCCTTCATGCATGCAGACTCGTTCTTGATCCACATAAATAAACATGCTGTATTACACATTGTGTAATACCAAAAAGGTGGTTAAGTACTGCGGGAACAAGTTTCACTAAAAAATATTCAAAACTACCAACATCTCTGGGCATTTCAATGACATTGCGTGTAGAGATAATACATCACCGAGAGGAGCTCATGCAGCTCGATGACCCAAGCAACCCTGTTGCTGAGCTGACGTCACATGGTATTGTTTCGCCAGTGGATCTTGCAACAAAATTCCACAAATTAAGTCAAAGGGCACTGTGACGTTATTGTTAACTTGTGGTGCAGAACCCTGTTCCACAAAGCGAACATAGCGAAAAGTCTGTCGTAAGTCTCTGTTAAAGTATGGGAGTTACCATAACATTAGCACCACGATAGCTTTGTGGACTGGACGCCTGAATTCTAAAGGTGAGCCGTTGTATGGCATTAAGTTCCAATTCCAACCCGGATGTTCATAAGGTGCTGTGACATAAATAGATGATATTATATAAGTGTTCATGTCATACTATATATGTGTACGACACGAGTGTCTAAATTCCGGTGAGTTTGTGCGTGGCTGCTGTGTACTAGTCCAGACTAGTATCGGTTTTAATGTGCTAGCTTACTGAGATACCACGCCGACGTTTAACATGGATACCTCACTCGGGCACACTATACTGACTCCGAACCCAAGGGCGGGTTCCTAAATTTCAAAATCCTCTCAGATAATTTTACTGCCTACAACACACTACTGCCATATAATAACCTTTTAATCATAAACCATAACATCAACTTGTATATTGTAGCTCTTTGCAAGTGAATGCAATACATTTTCACCTTGTCTGGAAGACATTGTCGCGTGAAAGCCACCTGAAGAGACGAGCAGACGACGAACTAAGGGACGTAACTCCAATTTCTCACCACTCACGGCTGATATCAATTCAAAATGATATCAGCTCGGCAGGTGGTGTGATACGGATCTGGTTATAACACCTCCTGTGTTGGCTCTATCGCATATGCAAAATGCTTCATATCATAGATACTTAAATGAAAATAATCAGTAATACAGAATACTAAATGAGCCCCGTGTAATACCAATTTTATGAAACGAGTGAATAGTTCTAGTATCTGACGAGCGATACTAGAACTATATATTCACTCGTTTCATAAAATTGATATTACACGGGAGTGAGTTTAGTATTTTATCTATAACTTGCCGGGTTTTTAAAAACCGTTTATTTAAAATTTCACTGTCCTGTGTCAATAGTCTGACATCTACCTGATCCACAGCCTATTCCAACTGAGTTTACGGAATAATACTTCAAACACGTCAAAAGTTGATAATTAGGAGATAAACATGTGTTTTCAATGTAGAGCTAGGTTAACTGTAGATTTAACCCCGCCAAATTGAATTTGGAACCGAACGCGCAGCGTGAGGTTTCAAATGTTAAATTTAGCGCCATGACTAAATAAAACGCGAACTCTTTGGTGTTAGCAAATATACTGAGTGAAGCGGCGTGGGTTGAGTCCACTGTTTTGAGTGGGTTGTTGATCTGAATTACGGAATCACCGAACAAAATATGGCGCTGTATATACTCAAGCAGTTTGTTTACACCGTAATACTTCACTCGAACATATGACAGGCATTTAAAGCATATAAGCACGGCAACTTGGTAAGCTAACATGATGGGGGCATCCCTAAAGAAAACAAAGCAAGCTTTGCAAGGCTTTCGTTCTACATCGCACGTTACCATTATGACGTCATATCGCTCAATGTGACGTAAAATATATGACGTCACAGTCGTATATAGAAAAGCGCCAAAATTCCAAGCTCTCTGTTGTCTCCAAAACGTAAATACATTCCCTTTGTTGATTTCTGTCGTGTTTTCTGCACGAAATGTATTGCCACACATCCTTTGAATATTGTAGTAACCGCACCTGTGCATTTTGTAACCTGTGATTGTAGATATAATTATTTAAATATGCCTACCGACAACGACTGAAAATGGTACTATTCTATGAATATTAGCTTCCGCGGTGATGCGGCCGTCAAACCAGCTGTTTCAATCAGAGGGGGTTTATTGTGATTTAATAGCCTCTGATTGACCAATCAGAATCGAGTAAATTCCAATTCATGGTAGAATTTAAATTTAATACCATACACCTTTAGAATTCAGGCGTCCGGTCCACAAAGCTATCGTAGCGCTAATGTTATCGTAACTCCCATACTTTAACATAGACTTACGACTGTCGTTACGCTACGATCGCTTTGTGGAAGAAGGTCGTGCACGGCCCCGATCCACAAAGCGATCATAGTGCTAAGACGATCATAACTCCCATATTTTACCATAGAATTACGACTGTCGTAGCGCTAAGGTAGCTTTGTGGAACAGGGTCCCTGCACCACAAGTTTACAATAACGTCACAATGTCCTTTGACTTAATTTGTGGAATTTTGTTGCAAGATTCACCGGCGAAACAATGCCATGTGACGTCAGCCCAGCAGCAGGGTTGCACTCTCAGTGATGTATCATCTCTACACCCAGGGATGTTAGGAGTTTTGAATATTTGTTTGTGAAACTTGTTTGGTAACACACACACACACACACACACACACACACACACACACACACACACACACACACAAATGCCAGTCACTGTATACGTGCACAAATCTTGAACGCCACTTTAAACTCAATTCATCGTCAGTCTCATATAAAATGTCACTTGGAAATTGTAGGTCTTCACGGACTACTGCCTACGCGCGGTACGTGAACGCTACCGACGTGCTTTGTTTATACATTACACTCTCCAGTTTGGAAGGTACATTTTCTGACATCAACACTTCCGCGTCTCACGTGGTTGTACATGACGGAAACACATCAGCATTTCGCTGTTGCACAAGTCAATATAAAGAGTTGATTAAGTGTCCTAGCTTTCACTTTTCTGTATTGGAATTCTCGATGTGTTTTGAAGTGATTTTCCATTGACAGGCCCACGGATGCTTAAACACACACACAAGAATGCCGGAATGTAGATTGTTTTGTAGGCGTGTCACATACGTATTGTCATTTCTGACCTGAATCTTTTATTGTGGGTGTCTGTATGAGAATGTATTACGGTCACGTGACACTGTGCGGGGTACCTACCCACCTTCTTCACACACGGTCACCTGGAGCTAAAAACAGCTAATGTCAACTTACGTTTACAAACATAGCGACGAAGAGTGTCTGAACGCTTGGGCTCGCTATCATAGTGTTCATGTGACGGATATCGGGGATATTGTAAGCAAGATACATTGAACACTATTCTTAGGACTTACGGAAACTCATAGTTGCTCAAAGTGAAACTACAGAGTTCCGTAGTTTGGGCATGAATCGTAACGTTGAATCGCAGGGATCGTTTGATTTTTTAAGTCGTTTACAACTGATTCCTAAACGTGGGATGTTCATCGTTGTTCGTGTATCAGGGATATATTACACCTTCTGAAACACGGATCACAAAAATTAGATGTGATTACCTTCGCCAAGTACTGACTTCGTGGAGTGACTATGGTGGAACTGGCCAGGAATTATCTCCTTGTCGGCCTCTGTGCACTTGGCTTGCTTCATGTCACACGGGGTTTGCGTCTTGGAGCCTTTAATCTGAAAATATTCGGAACATCCAAGGCATCTAAGCCCGATGTTGTAGAAACAATCGCCAAGGTAGGTGACATGTTTATGGCTATTGGACTTACGACATCTTTGTTGTAGAAATACTGACGGACCACAGGCCTATTTATAGCACAAATCTGTGCCGGTAGTAGATATTCAGAAATTGTTTACTTTTGTCTTATAATTTCTAACTGCATTGAATATAATATATAAGCTGTTATTTTCAAAATACATCGATATTTGCAGAAAACATTAATTCATAAAACTTAAAGATATTTGGAGATTGAAGCAAGGTATGTACAACTTAGAGATTTTGATAAAACCGGCCATTCGTGACCAACTCGTGTTATTCTGGGACAAGCCGAATAGCGACTCGTGCCCCTCTCAATGCCATTTTTGCGACCGGGTTCCGTCTTAGCGCAAACGAGCATACCTAAAACAATTGTCAACTCGTTGCGTAATGGTTCACATAATATTTCCCCATGTATAATATATACTTCAGATGCAATTTGAAGCACATTGGGAAGTGCGGAATTATACAGTATGATTGAACACTTTTAACTGTTTCTTGGGTATATTTTTAGATGCAAGACATATGTAGAATCAAAAATTATTTCTGAGGGATTCTTTGACGAAGAAGTTAAAATCATAAGCGCATTCTGATTGGTTTGTCGTATTTTCGCACATAACATTCATTGATAGGGGGACGAGTCTTCTTGCAGGTTGCGGAAAGGGGCGAGTGGTGACGAATGAAAACGGGCATATGAGAACAATGTGGCACTCGTGTTAACTGTAAACTACACTTGTCACAGTCAACCTTCCTTCCGGTTTTTTATGTTTCTTCCTGCTTCAATGTTCAGTACATATGATGAGCATTTAGATCTAAATCTGGAAAATGAAATTCTATATTTTTACAAGAGTAGTTGCATATGATGCTTTCCAGTCTTAAACTGTGTTTTAAACATGATAAATTAATGACATTTTATGAGATAATGCTAATGAAGAGTGTCTTTTTGTATATACATATGTCTGAGTCTTTGAGTACACGTATCAACACATATTTTAGTAATGACGTGTATGCACGTGACACCGCGGCTGTACACACATGACCCTTGAACCCGAGATAAATGGGCTGTATATTTCAAGTTTTTTTTCCATGACTGCAGATTATATCTCGGTATGACATCATCCTGTTGATGGAGATCCGCGACATAACGGGGACGGCCGCATCAGTGCTACAGGAGAAACTGCAAAAGTGAGTGTGTCAGAGTACACACGTGGATAGTGAGTGTGTTAGTGTACTGACGTGCCGAGTGAGTGAGTGAGTGAGTATTAGTGCACACACGTGCGCATTGTGTGTGTGGGTGTGTTAGTGCACACGCATGCAGGGAGTGTTAGTGCACATGTGCAGAGTGAGAGTGTGAGTGGCATAGTGTACTTAAGTATAGAGTGAGTGAGTGAGTTGTGTGAATGGCAAGTTGTTTCTTTTCAAAAGGTTCTTTTCGTTTCTATTTTTCACTGGTTAAGAGCGACTCCACGGCCAGGTCTTCGAAATAAGTCTGGACATGTAATTAGAAGCTGTATGAAGCTGAGACATTGTCTTGGTTTAATTAGGGTAGTCTTTACTGCTGAATTAATATACATAATACAACTTTAGTCTGCAGACAAAGCTGGCGTTGGATGACTTGAAACAAACTTGCTTGAACTGCCAATTGGGCAAAGCCTAGTTTACCTAATAAATAAAGCGAAGATTTATTTAAAAAACGATCCGGTCGTAATACCGGGAACTTTTAATTTATCCTTTTAACAGACAGGTCATTTCGTTTTATTGTAGACATAAAGATGTAACGTCAGTATATGGCTTTGAAATCAGCGATCGTCTTGGGCGAACGAAGAGCAAAGAGGAGTATGTTTTCATTTACAGGTAAGTAACTCAGTTATTTCTTCACATCATCGCGTCCAAACAGCTTCCTCCGTACCCAACACATTACCCTGGGAAGTCGTAACCTAGTAGAGTTGCATGATGTCATTGCAAGCCGTGTTAAAAAGAGTCTTTGCAGAAGGCTCGATTTGAGGTTTGTTAGAATTTAGGTATGCAATTTGATATAGAGCAAAGCAAACTGCCGCGAACTCCCTCTTTCTGTGTGTGTGTGTGTGTGTGTGTGTGTGTGTGTTTCCGTGTTGCCCATGTGACAGAGCAGTGCATGTCTGTCTACTGCCATTTCTGTAATGCACAGCTAGACTCCCAACACTGTCTTAATCCTCCTCGCAGTGTTTTAAAATAATTTTATTCAAGGGTAGACTAACATTGAATTCCGCACTAAGTACCCGAAGGCTTGTCAGATACAGGTGTGGTGGTGAATATGTTACCAACACGGTCGTGTTGGCGGGGGCGAGGATACAGCTAGTGTTGTTACTGATGCAGTTATATCACGTAGTATCGTTGTGACGGCTTGTTTCAGGAAGGACAGGGGCATCAGCGTTGTCGACAAGTACCATTACGACGATGGAGACGAGGCAACGAAAGAAGATACATTTGAAAGAGAACCCTTCATTGTTCGGTTCAATAGCAATAGAACAGGTGGGAGTGTAACCTTACCCTTCTGGAATACGCTAGACTTCTGTTTTACATATATACCGCACAAAAAAACTTCATTTGTGTTTTACTGCTTTATGCTACTGATTAAGCCAGCATGGTTTACTTCAATTTCCCGGGAAGCATAATAAATAAAATATTGCTATTTATAGACACGATACATATATTTAAGTAAATATTTTTTGTAATGTTTTATTAACATCCATGATATGTTGTTCAGAAAATAGCAGCTTACACAACATTTTTCTTGAGATAAGAGTTATCCCCCTTGCCTCGGGAAGGTGCTTACACCATCGTTTGGTTCCAAATATTTCTGATTGCACACACTAGTTCCATCGACACCGTTTGTCCCGTCAGAGGGAAGTGCCATTGCAGATGGGCCACATCAACCGGAGTAGGCTAATGGTTAGCGTTAGCTCGTTACATCGAAGATCGGGTTCGATTCCCCACCTGGGTACAATGTGTGAACCCAATTCTCAGTTACCCCTGCCGTAATATAGCTGGAATAAACACGTCGCAGAACCCAACTCACACACTCATTTACCCAGTCACAAGGAGTGAGTGAGTTGGGTTTAACGCCGCTTTTAACAGTATTCCAGTTATATCGCGGCAGTCAGAAGGAAGGTAGTGGTGGCCTATAGGTGTATATAAAGCGACTGAACTCCCGACACCAAGATTAGATTCTTTTCATTGGTATAGTAGCAGGGCCCAAGCAGCCATGGTGTCCTGGCCATGATGAACTGGACAAGTCTCCATTGTTTTATAACAACATGAAAAAAATGTCCCAATTAACCATAAGCTGCCCCGTGATGATTCGGATAAGAATTGGCCACGAGCGACCCATGCTGGTCGTAAGGGGCGACCAAATGCATCGAGTGGTCAGGCTGGATGACTCGATTGATTGCTTGTCATCCTACCCCAATCGCGTGGATCGATGCTCATAATATCAACCACTGGATTTTCTGGCCCAGACTTGAGTAGTAACAGGTAGCCTTCATAAAGCTGAAATATTGCTGACTGCGTCGTTAAACAACAAACAAACAAACAAACAAACAAGCAAGCCAAAATGAAGAACACAAGCAATATGCAATTAGAAATGTTTCATGATTATTCTTATTAATTAATATTGGAAACAGCTTCCAGTCTACGTCAATATTTGACCAGAATAATGTTATATGACCTGAATAATGCTTTACAGGACCTGAATAATGTTTTATAGGACCAGAATAGTTCTTTATAGGACCTGAATACTGTTTAATAGGACCTGAATGATGCTTTACAGGATCTGAATAATGCTTTATAGGACAGGAATACTGTTTTATAGGACCTGAATAATGTTTTATATGACCTGAATAAAGCTTTACATGACCCGAATAATGTTTTATAAGACCTTAATTATGCTTTATAGGACCGGAATAATTCGTTATAGGACCGGAATAATTCGTTATAGGACCTGAATAATGCTTTATAGGACCGGAATAATGCTAACAGTAAATTTCAACACAACTCACAAACTCACACTTCAGTGGTTCCCGACTTCTCGCTCGTGGCCATCCACACCAACCCCACCAAGGCGCTGGGAGAGATCAAGTCACTCCTCGATGTGTATCACGACGTCAAGCAGAGATGGAAGACCAATGACGTCATTATCCTAGGTGACCTCAATGCTGATTGCACTTACGTACGCAAATCTCATTGGCCAACGATTGATATACGTAACCAGCCGGAATTCTACTGGCCAATCGGAGACGAGGTGGATACAACTGTCACCGACACAGACTGCGCTTATGACCGGTAGGAGTGTTTTTATCTTGGAGTAATATTTGCACAATTCGCATTAAATCTTTATAAATCACTCGATTAAACTGTTTCTCTGTGTTTCTGTGGAATGCTGCCGTCGCATGACAGGAGTGGGGCTACGGACACTTTATTATGCAGATTCTGTAAGTGGCGGGTGCTACGGGTAGGACAGGACATGCTTACCCTTTGCACGAACACCTCGTGTCATCACTGATGTTCAGTGATACATTCTCATAATTTTCACCACTATTTTGCCTTTCACGCCCAAAAGAATCTTTTCGTCCGTTGATAGAGACTGGTTCCCTGGCGTTGACGTTTTATAGTTTCAAGAACATGTAATCTCCTAAACCAGTAGGGGTTCTACTCCCAGGATTACCCTAAACCCTGCAGGGGCGGTCGGGTAGCCTAGTGGTTAAAGCGTTCGCTCGTCACGCCATAGACCCGGGTTCGATTCCCGACATGGGTACAATGTGTGAAGCCCATTTCTGGTGTCCCCCGCCGTGATATTGCTGGAATATTGCTAAAAGCGGCGTAAAACCATACTCACTCACTCACTTACTAAACCCTGCACACATCCTAATGATCACTACATGTACCTCTTGACCCGTGAAGCTCCCGGTTAGAATTGACCTTCAGCAACCCATGCTTGTCGTAAGAGGCGACGAACGGAATCGGATGGTCAGGCTCGGTGACTTGGTTGATGCATGTCATCGTGTCCCAGTTGCGAAGATCGATGCCAATCACTGGATTTTCTGGTCCAGATTCGTTTATTTATAGACCGCCGTCATACAGCTGGAATATTGCTGAGTGTGGCGTTAAACAACAAACAAAAAACCCCAAAAGGTCGAGTTAGTTATGGTGCTGTAATACTTTACGTTTTGCATACCCGTTCACATTTATAGCTGCCGAAGGTATGAATCTTTTGTTTGTATACAAAAAGAGATATGTACACACTCGACGGTTGATATGCAAATAGGTGCATCCGATTTCCAAATACGGACATCCAGTTCAGGTTCTCATACATTGGGTCATGTGATTCACGCCGCTGCCAGGACGCCGTTCAAGTGCCATTAAAGGATACCATGGACATTTTGATACCGCAGTTCCTAAACAAGGAACGTTATATATATTTGTCCTGATAGTAAGATGAATTGTTCCATAATTATAATAATTATCCTTCAGTCTGTTGAACGAAAAACATTGCCACAATAATTACATTGTTGCAGTTGTGCAAGATGTTTTTTAACCCTTCCTTCAGAATATCAAATGGTTTTTGCCCAATGTGTTGCAAGGAATTGGTTTCAACACTTTTCCTGGGCAATTCTCGATTATTTACAAAGCGCCGTTATATGGCGGGAATGTTGATAACTCGGCCTTAAACAAAATTGACTCACTCGTAACTGTCAATCATTTCAGGTTCATAATAGCAGGAACCAGACTCAGAAACAGCGTGTTAAACAACAGTGTCGGTATTTACAACTTCCAGAAGCAATACAAGCTGTCGAAAGAGCAGGTAAATTTCTTTTCCATGCGTGACCGCTCGTGCATGGTACGGAAAGGGAGACTGTGAATGTCACCAGTCGTCACTTTCTGGCGTGTCTCTGCTGTGTAGCATAGCAACAAGAACCTACAGAAAGAACAACCGTTATCATCCTTGTCGCTCCACTTGTCTGAATCATTTAATCAACTCAGCAAACACGGTAGTAATATCCCGGTGCACTGATACATCAGCGAAAGTTTATATATTTGACAGGGCCCTGGACTAGCCCTGAATCCGGATACTCGGAGAAACCCTGATGTATTCAAGACAGGAGACATGCACAAAGACTTGTTGTTACTGATGTCTCCTAAACACTGAATAATAATAATAATAAAAATAAAATTATTAATAATAATAAAATTATTATTATTATTATTATTATTATTATTATTATTATTATTATTATTCCGTAAATGTGCTTTACCATTCACCAAGTCAATTCTTATGGCGCTATGTTATTATTACTCCGGTCGATGGATCAGTGCGCATTCTAATTTCATTTTCTGCACGCTTGGGAATATACAACCCAAGCTGCCCAGTGAGGCGCCAGGTGGTTTACAATCACAATATCCGCATCTCATCCTACCGGGTACCCATTCACTGCTGGTGAACAGAGGTATATTTCAAACAACGTGTCTTACCTCCCCTGTGCATGCTCTACATGTTTACACAAGGGGGTAACGGGCGACCTTTAAAATTACAATCTTACCAGAAATTCACTTTCAATCGCATAAAGTATACATCTTCCCGAGGTAAGAGAGTTAACTGACATTAAAAGTCCAGTTTCCGAACTAGGCTGGAACTAGGCTGGAATTCCTGGGCTCAATCGTAGCGCCACCAGTGGCAATTACGAGTTATGTCCTTTCTGTGCCTCTCCTATTGACCAATCAGATTCAACCTCTCGTATCACTTGCATTTGCTTCAAACAAAACGGTGGCGCCCAGTCAAGACGATCTGATCGATAATCAAGATCTATATTGTGATAAAACGAGTCTTACATCGCGAAGTGCATCAAATCACATGAGCACCTTGATTAAAAACATGAAAAGATATAGAAAATATCTGTTGACAATGAGTTAGCGGTGCACATGCTTTGCAAATCCTGCAGTCGACCGAAATCTGCATGACACTTTACGAACCGGATTTCGATTTCGGTGCCCGATTTTGATTGGACTATGCATAGACTCGTTAGTCCAGCGAAAAATATAACTCCACAATACCAGCCTAGTTCGGCAAGGGTGGAAACTGGACTTTTATAGTCAGTTTACTCACTTGCCTCGGGAAGATGAAAGTATATGGAGGTAACCAACAATTTAACAGCCCATAATAAGCGTTGGACTAATGAGGGTGTACCATAAGCGCATAATACTTCTTATTAGTAGATGTTTATAGTAATTTATAGATGTATGTATGATGTATCATTGATGACTTGATTAACGTCACATTTATGCTTTCCCTAATCTGAGCGTTGACTGTCACAGGCCCTGAACGTGAGTGACCACTTCCCTATAGAGCTGGAGTTGAAGGAGAAGCTGGCAGTCGGTGAGGGAGCCAACACGACCTTCAACATGGCAGTAGTTGTACTCTCAACCCTGTTTGTTGCCAAGATGTGCCTATGTTGAAACACATATCGAACACGAAACATCCTCCGTGTCCTTATCACTGTGATACAGATTAATATGTGAACATTTGATTCTGTTGGAGATTTAACGAGCGCTTCTGATGGATCCGATTCCGCACCAGGATTGTTGGCTGTGATTATCCCCTTGTGGCAGAGAAAGGGAATGGGATATGACACGACAATGTGAAACAAACATACCCTTGTTACATGCGCCATGTCCCAAGACGATCGTTGTGGGTACTCCTGGTCAGCATGGCTCCCCCGTTTACCATGTTTTTGGAAACAGCCGACTGTTTTGTGACCCTGCTGATTATGTGTCATCGCACAATACTGCGTGTATTGTTGCTCATACTATTAACAACTGGTTAAGACTCAGGCTCAAAGGCCGCCATGACTAATCTTGACTAATGCTGACTTTCTTATAAAAGAAATTGTACGAACTTACAATTCCACTAACGAAAGTGCAATGGATATATACCACACGATGTTACTCAGGTACCCTTTGTGTACTAACCGATTAATGATATACTGGTATACTGAATTTGGAAGATTTTATTTTTTGCATATTAAATAAATCAGATTTTCTAAAATACTTAAAGGGGACGTTTCATTCAGCTATTAGTTATTTCTTGTCAGTGTTCCAATGTCTTTTTAATAGAGTGCAATTTTAATGCCATGGCAATTGTACCAGGATGTTTATTACACAAAAGGGGCGATGGGGTCGTCTAGTAGTTAAAGCGTTCGGTTGTCACACCAAAGACCCGGGTTCGATTCCCTACATGGGTACAATGTGTGAAGCCTAATTCTGCTGTTCCCCGCCGTGGTATTGCTGGAATATTGCTAAAAGCGGCGTAAAACCATACTCACTCACTATTACACAATGACAGTGATAACTGTGCTTTTGCACAAGTAACACCAGGAGATGTGAAATGAACATATCGGGGATTGTACACATTGAACAAAATAGTTATGTGTTTCAATAACCAGGAAGGGAGCAAACTTTTACACTCCAAATGTTCGTTGCCTACCTAGCTCATGAAGGGAATAGGGGGCACGGGTGGCCCAATCGTCTAAGGCGCCGCGATTCGCTGTTCCTTGGGCACGCCAGAAACCTATGATTGTGGGTTGGAATCCCGGTTCGCCCCGATTATGTTTCTAGGTTTGTCAGCACCATACCCATGCTCGTGGGTTTCGACAAAGTGGTAAACGTCTGAGACCTGCATCACTTCGGTCTTTCCTCCCACATTAAGCTGACACGCCGTTAAACCCAACACACTCACTCACTCATGAAGGGAATGGATGGAAGGTATTTCCAGGTGCTGGTTCATGCAGATGCCAAAGGGACACGGGTATGAACATCCGGGCGAGTGCCCTGTGGTACACATACATCCTTTAGAGTGAGTGAATATGGTTTTACGCCGCTTTTAGCAATATTCCAGCAATACACGGCGGGGGACACCAGAAATGGGCTTCACACATTGTACCCACGTCGGGAATCGAACCCGGGTCTTCGGCGTGACGAGCGAACGCTTTAACCACTAGGCTACCCGACCGCCCTACATCCTTTAGAACTGTTACCGGCAACCAATGCTGGAGGCGACCGAATAGATCGGGTGGTCAGTCCTGCGCGGATCTTACTTTTAATCACTGGATTGTTTGGTCCGGACTCAATTATCTATTGGCCGCCGTCATATGGCTCGAATATTGCTGAGTGCGGCTTTTGTATCCCTTGTTGTTGATAAGCAACACGTCATACCCTGTCTTATAAAACTGTGTGTACCTTCTAAGACTTGGCATATTCCGTGCTTGAGGGTTGCCTGGATACAGCCTGCTGAACCGTCCCAGACTCCTGATGGGGAAGATGTTGCGATAGCTGTCGCTGTTGCTGGTGCCAGACTTCGTGGGTGCCGTTCACACGCATCTTCTCGAGGCAAGGGAGTCAACTGACTGTAGAAGTCCAGTAGAAACCTTCCAGCAAATATGTTTTCTGTTTCTTAAACCTTTGTTTCGAATAACGGAGGAAGTGTTGCGAGAAGTTCCGATCTATTGGCAATCTTTTCTTCTCAACAATGACCTTTAATAAACTGATTTAAGATACGTTTGATTACAAATGACCAACGGTGAGGCTATTCTAAGTTGGATAACTTGTTCCTAATTATATTCATTCTTGTGAATACACTAGTTTAAACTAACAAATACACAGGTTGTAGAAGAATCGTCATACCCTCTTCGGGGGCACTGATGACCCCAGTCGCCTAAGGCGCCGAAATTCGCTGTGCAGAGTTGCGACCATAGGAAACGCCAGAAACCTATGATTGTGGGTTCGAATCCCGGTTCGTCCCGCTTATATTTCTACGTTTATCAGCACCACACCCGTGTTCGTGGAAATCACTAAAGTGGTAAACGTCTGTGACAACATCATTTCAGACTTTACTCCCACATTAAGCTGACAGGCCGTGATTTAACTGGAAGATTGTTAAAAGCGGCGTTAAATCCGACTCACTCACTCTTACCCTCTTCAAAGAGCAGTTTACTTCACGTACACATTAGTTGGTTCCAGAAAGTGCCTCTAAACTGTCTGCATTGAACACTTACAACCACGGACACAATCACCGGTTCTAGAAACTCTAGCCTGTACACACTGAACTCTTTATACTGCGAACACAGTCACTGGTTCTATCAACTCTCTTCGATGTGGTTACTGTTACGAAGTGATTTTCCAAACTGAAACGCCAAGCTTTTTAAAGGTTCATACAGGGTCATACAGATATAGTTTTATCCATAAATACCCACGCACGATCAGTGCATAATTCACAAATGATATTGAAACACGCAAGTGTAGGTTTACAATCACAAAAGCCAGTACATTGGGTCCAATACGTGGCAGCAGCAAGGCGTTACAGGCCCTGTAACAAATGTCAGTGCAGTCACGGTATTGTGAAAAGCGATTCATTTAGGCCCCGTCACTATCTACAACGATATCACTTCATCACGACTGAGACCCTCCTGTAGACCCACCAGATGTCTGAACCTGATGGATCGAACCTGATGGATAAAACCTGATGTTATGAGTGAGTAAGTGAGTATGGTTTTACGCCGCTTTTAGCAATATTCCAGGAATATCACGGCGGGGGACACCAGAAATGGGCTTCACACATTGTATCCATGTCGGGAATCGAACCCGGGTCTTCGGCGTGACGAGCGAACGCTTTAACCACTAGGCTACCCGACCGCCCAGATATTTAATAGACTCGACCTTGTGTATATTTGTTCCGATTTTGCTCGTGCTAGAGTTCGATGTACAAGGCTTAACATTGATACCGGGAGACACCCCACAAGTCCACCTGAACGATTATGAACATATTGTAACGAAAACAAGATCGAAGATCTGTTTAATCTCACCGTTATATGCCCAACCTGAGAAAACATTCGAAAGCAAAACCAAATAAATATTTGAATCTCTGTAAAATGTGAGTCTATTTGTAAACTACTTCATATTTGAGCCTATAGCCTTTCATACAATAAACATTTGAATTGAATTGATTTAATTTAATTGAATAAACTACTGATTATTTCATGTTGAGGCCCAGTGGGTTTCTAGTTAAAATAACCCCTTACTGCGCCCAGTTGGCCTTCGGGAAAACTTAATGTGGACACGTGCTACCATAGTGTGTTACATTGTTACATTTTGACTCGCCATACTGTATTGCAATTAACTGTTTAAGCCTTCATGTCGTTTTATTGGCACCTTTGACTGTGGCGTTCCAGTTACTAAATAGTAGTTGGTTGGTTGTTTTGTTGTTTAACGCCGCACTCAGCAATATTCCAGCTATATGACGGCGGTCTGTAAATAATCGAGTCTGGACCAGACAATCCAGTGATTGATATCATTAGCATCGATCCACGCAATTGGGATACGATGACATGCATCAACCAAGTCAGCGAGCCTGACCACCCGATCCCGTTGGTCGCCTCTTACGACAAGCATAGTCGCCTTTTACGGCAAGCATGGGTTGCTGAAGACCTATTCTACCCCGGCATCTTCACGGGTCTACTTTGGAGTCAATCACTACAATACCTGAAGTGAAGCGACTTCACCATCCCCGTCTTATTGGTAACTTCTCGCAATATAGTATCTAAAACAGACCAGAAAAGGCAGACATGAATGTATCGTCACACCTCAAAGGCCACTTCACCATCCCCGTCTTATTGGTAACTTCTCGCAATATAGTATCTAAAACAGACCAGAAAAAGCAGACATGAATGTATCGTCACACCTCAAAGGCCACTGTGGGAATTTAGATATGTGTGTTGTGTAATGTCTGGTACATCTATAGTTAGTGTACTACATAGTTGTGCAAACTACGGTAGCAAACCGCCTCCGTTGTCTAGTGGTAGAGCGTCCGACAGGAGAGCTGAAGGTCCGGGGTTCGATCCCCGACCGCGTCATACCAAAAGACGTTAAAAGATGGTACTTGTTGTTACCCTGTCTGGCGCTCGGCATTAAGGGGCTAAAACAAGGACTGGTCGGCTCGGAGTCAGTATACTGTGTCTGAGTGGGTATTCGTGTTAAACTGCGGCATGGTATCTCAGTGAGCTAACACTAAAATTGGCATCAGTCCGGACTAGTACAAGCAGCCACACAAACACACACACGTACATGCACGTCGCTATATAAGTGCAATATTCTTGGATGCGACGTTAAACCCAATTTCACCTCACCTCACCTCACGGTAGCAAACAGCCACATCTATATGAACACACAATGCCAGTACTGCATTTTGTGGCTTTTCTTATTATCATATCAGGCACTGGTTTGTTTGATGCAGACTCGTTTTTTTACAAACTTGATATTTCTTATTTATATATTGTTGATAACGGGGTCAGACAAACAAACAAACAAACAAACACTCAGTGATGAAACAGGCGGGAGTCATATCTACATAAAAACTCTCTTCAAAATATCAGTTACATGTTAATTAGTTTTGTGAAAACAAGTCCTCCCCCGCTGATCTATATGAAACTTGCCGATGTAAGGTGTACACATGTTGGCACACACACCATGGCCTCTGGTTAGACCATCATCTGCAAATATATTTACAATATTTCTTTTACAATGGCACACTATTAAATCTGTATCTGTTTAATGTTTGTAGATATACTTTTGATAAAAACACATAGATGTATTCCAATATCTTAGGTGAGCGTTATTAACAGAGAACATCGAAACCAATTAATGAAGTGAAGTTAATTATCATTGCTCTGCGTGATGTCCAAAGTTGATATTAAAGTATGCTTCAATAACTATCACATGCATTGAAATTCATTTAGCTACGTGTTCTTCGAGAGGTAAGTCATATTTATGCAATATACAAGGTCTCACAATACAGGTTACATATGGTGCATTAAGTGGAATCTTGGAAGTTGTATGTTACATTGTCCACACTCTTCAGGGTCTCACTATACGCGTAATATGTAGATCCGGGGAAGAATAGGTCTTCAGTAAGCCATGCTTGCCGTAAAAGGCGATATGCTTGTCGTAAGAGGCGACTAACGGGATCGGTTGGTCAGGCCCTCTGACTTGGTTGATGCATGTCATTGATCCCAGTTGTGTGGATCGATGCTCATGATGTCAGTCACTAGATCCCTGGTTCAGACTCGATTATTTACAGACCGCCGTCATATAGCTGGAATATTGCTGAGTGCGGCGTAAAACAACAAACCAAACAAAAACAAAACCGGGTAACATGTTGTAAGGTGAGGGAGAAAGATTATTTCTGTCCTTGTTCAAAAGAGGGTGGTGCACAGCAATCTCAAGCTACATGTAATAGGTTTACAGTTATTTTGAATACAAAAACAAAATGAAAATGTTAAACTCTTAATCTTTCAGTATAGCTGTTTGTTTAGAATTATTATTGAACAGAATTGTTTGCAAAAAAAGCCCTTGCAGACTCGATTGTGCGATTCCGATTATATGATAAACATGTTTATGCTTACAAAGCGAATCTATTGATAACCCATTAACTAATCATAAAATCCTATCTGGGAAGAGGTTATATATTTTAATTCGTTGAATAAATGTCCTCTCCTTCTTATATCATATAATGTGTGGTTTTCTTTAGTGATGTAAATGGTTGAAGCTTTGTGTCTTCCGTAACCTATGATTTTGGGTTCGATTCCCGGTTCAACCCGATTATGTTTCTAGGTTTGTCAGCACCATACCCGTGCTCGTGGGTTTCACCAAAGTGGTAAATGGCTGAGACCTGCATCACTTCGGGCTTTCCTCCCACATTTAGCAGACACGCCGTGATATAACTTAAACACTGTTAAAAGCGGCGTTAAACCCAACTCACTCACTCACTCCATAACGGTAATAGTACCTTCGGTTATACTTGATTAGACACGGACAATGAGTCCATATTACAATTGTTTTTGACCGTATGTGTTCAGAGTGAAGGCATTCTACTGAGAACTATAAATGTCAGCGAACTACCTGAACACCATGAGGAGGAACCATCACGGCCCCCTGAGGACACCTGCAGCAACCGACCTGACCCGATGGCGTCTGACGGGGGAGGGGGACCGTCATGTGTGGGAGTATATTGAGGAGGGACAGGTGCCGGACAGACCCCAGACATTCATAGAGAGAAACGCTGTTGGACTAGATACGGTCAGCATACTAACCTTGTCCAAAGAGGGGAGAGGAACGTTGTTAGCCGCGATACTCTCACACAGAGAGCAACCGTTTTGTATAATATAAGATACTCTCATATAGAGAGGAATGCTGGTAGAATAGGCATCGGCAATGGCCAAAACATACTTGTAGGGGAACATTCCTGGTATAGGGGAACATTCCTGGCTTTGATACCCTCACACAGAGAGATACGCTGGAAGAAAAGCCAGAGTCGGTATACTGACCTTGACCTAAACATTCATATAGAGAAACAAACTTGGACTTGATGTCCCAAATGCTAGCACATTGCTAGCCTTCAGTGATATATTCATAGAGATATTATTAAGGCTCGGTTGGTAGAATAGATACGGAAAGGCGACTGTCCTTAAGGGCCCCGTTCCACAAAGCGTTCTTAGCGCTATGATTGTCGTGTCAGTGATAAAGAATGGTAGTTATGATAGACTTAGCGCTAAGATCGCTTTGTGGATCGGGGCCCTGGATCCAACGATTCACATGGATGAAAACGGTTGAGTCGGTCATATCGCCTTGGCATACATGTTGACAATGATATAGCATAAAATTCACTGATGTATTTAACACTGAAACCGACTTTAATCATATTTACTTTAACCTTTCTGATGTGTAGAATAAGACTTGCGTGGCTCATTCCCACACAGCCCATGAATACTAGCCAAGTGTGGATTCTGGGGAGCTTGCATTTGTATGGTTTAATATGAACAAACCTTGAAATTGAATATCAATGCAAACAAAAATGGCGTCTGAACAACTTAGAGACCGTTACTAAGGAAAGAGCTCGTTCACATCCCTTAGCAAAATGGCGGAAGGTGTCCGGTATACTGCATTCTTGCCAACTGGAGTGTTGTTGACTGCGGCGGCAAATACCATTCACTAACCCTGTACTTTTTGTGTTCTGATCTTTTTGTGTCCTGACCTCTTTGTCAAGTGAATAACCATATGTAAACCCTAAATATATTCTTCGTTACATAACACCAGGTACAATAATGACGAGTTAAACACCTATGAAACGTATTCGCTATAAAAGAAGCTGACTTATTTTGATACGTATCATCCTCTTTCATACTCAACAACACATTCCGACATCCCTTAGACCGAAGATGCCCCGCCACTTCCCCGAGCAGGCACTGCCAAAGAGGCAGCTTACAACAGCATGAGGTTCTACGCTGGTTTACAGGCAGACGACGGGCACTGGGCAGCAGACTACAGTGGGCAGGTCTTCCTTCTTCCAGGTGAGCTCCAACGTCATTAGATAATCACATGAAAGGTGTGCCGTTACCGATATCGAGAAAGATCTTCAGGACAGAAACTTGTAGACCAGGATATGTTACATATCATATATCATTACATTCTGGTTAGAACTGGTAATAAGCGACCCAGGCCGTGACAAGCGACTATGCTTGTCGTAAGAGGCGACTAATGGGGTCCGGTGGTCATGCACATTATCGTATCCCAATCGATGCTCATGATGTCAATCACTCGCTTGTCTGGTCCAGACTCGATTATTTACAGACCGCCTTCATATAGCTGGAATATTGCTAGCGTTAAAATAGTGCGGCTTTAAACAAAAAACTGATCTGATTGTTTGTATTTGTAAAGGTCAGTTTCGTAAAACTGTTTTTATTGTAAAGTAAGTGCTAGTTAGTTGTGATACATTATGGGAACTCGTGTAGTAATGTCTAACTTTCTTCCTTTCAGCTTACGTGATCGTCAGCTACATCACCGACGCCCCTGCTCCCGACCCCCACAAGCTGGAGATGACCCGCTTCATGAGGTCCGTGCAGTGTCCCGATGGAGGCTGGGGTCTGTAAGTACAATACTGCCCACAGTCCAGTGGGACCTCCTTATCTCGAACTGGGACCCCCTTATCTCGAACTAAGACCTATTATCTCCAAATGGGACCCTTTATATATAACGCGATAAAAAGGCTCAAGCGTTGAGAAGAGGGGGCTGAAATGTTTGTCCGTCACGACGTTCTCTATATCTTTGACCAGAAACCTATGATTATGGGTCAGAATCCCGGTTCGCCCCGATTATGTTTCTAGAGTTGTCAGCACCATACCCGTGCTCGTGGGTACATGCATCACTTCTGGCTTTCCTCCTACATTAAGCTGACACGCCGCAGTATAACTGGAATACTGTTAAAAGCGGCGTTAAACCAAACTCACTCACTCACTAGATCTTTGACATACTGAAACATAAGAATAATACTAAACAACGGAGGATTTTAAACTACAGAAGTAAATCAGTTCCTCTTACTTCATACTTTATCTTTTGTGTAATCCTCTCTCAATATAGTCGCATCGTATCGTCGCACGCTCAACATGTGTCTCGAATCGTGCTAGACCTCGTGTTGGATATGTATCAGCCTCCGGATAAGAAGGGATTAGATTGTGTTGGTTTCATCTCGTTATGTGCTATATCCTGGGCTCAAGGAATGTCTCTGTTTTTTAAATATTCCAGTCACATAGCTGGTCCGCCAACTGTACTGGGCTGTACTCTCGGCTACATATGTCTCAGGATACTAGGGGTTCCTGCTACCGATTCCGATCTTCTTCGAGCAATGCGGTTGATTCAACAGCTAGGTGAATGGTCTTACTTGGACTAATACATTTTCACATTATTTACTTATATTCGAAATTTGCTAAATGTGGTTAATAAGTTACGTCAAGGCACGTGAAGAAATTTTATGTTTTGTTCACTGTATGAAGACACGTCTTCACGTGTTACCAATTACTGAATGCCTATGAAAGATCTAACCTCTTTATATGTTTGATAATACTATATGAGCGACGTGACTAAACACAGATTACATATGCAGTCACAACATAAACGTAGCACTATCTCCAGGGCTCGCTGAATCTCATCTCATGTTACTGTGGTCTCCAGGAGGGCCCGTGTCTGTCCCCACGTGGGGGAAGGTGCTGTTGTCTGTCCTCAACGTCTACAGCTGGGACGGCGTGCACTCCATGTTCCCTGAGATGTGGTATGTAGTCGCACAAGAAACTGCTTCAGCAGATGCGTTTTCCCTAGTTTATAACTGATGCACATACTCTCTCCAAAACAAATTTTTAGTAAATTTATTGTACCTAATAAAGTCGATATATTTAATTGAATATCATAGATACAAATTTTGGAGCTCGATAGTCACATGTTGTCGTTGTACAAAGGCATTGAAAACTGTTCATTGTCATGTCACATAAGGCCACAAGAAGGCGCTGAACTTAGTATCTCGTATGACCGCCCCGGGCAGCAATCACGGCTCCTCGGTAATGACTGGATACGTGTACGAATTCTGTCTTGCAGAATTCTGCGCCATTCTGCTTGTAACGCGTTGGTCAGTTGTTGGAGTGTCTGCGGCGTGTTCTGACGTTGACGTACACGTCCATCGAGTTCATCTTAGGGGTGTTCGATTAGGTTGAGATCTGGAGATCTCGACGGCCAGGGCAAAACGTTGATGTTGGCATTATGAGGTAGTTATGGCTGCGTTTTGACGCACCGTTTGTCGAATATCAGGCCACCAACATTTACAAATACCATATATCATATTTATATACCGGATTTCTGGTGTAGTCAGGTTCAATGAACTACATACTACCTGTGCGTTTCATTTTTTGAAGAGTGTATATACTGTCATATGCCGCTTTTGTGTTTGAAAGTAGAAGTGTACTTGTAAACCTGACACAATATGACAACTTATTGACGTCTGGTAGCTGAAGTTTACAATGGCGCCCGGTGTTGTTTCTCTCCTTATTGACGTCTGGTAGCTGAAGTTTACAATGGCACCTGGTGTTGTATCTCTCCTTATTGACGTCTGGTAGCTGAAGTTTACAATGGCGCCTGGTGTTGTATCTCTCCTTATTGACGTATGGTAGCTGAAGTCACAATGGCGCCTGGTGTTATATCTCGGCTTATAGCTGTATGGTAGCTGAAGTCACAATGGCACCTGGTGTTATAACTCGGCTTATAGCTGTATGGTAGCTGAAGTCACAATGGCGCCTGGTGTTATAACTCGGCTTATAGCTGTATGGTAGCTGAAGTCACAATGGCGCCTGGTGTTATAACTCGGCTTATAGCTGTATGGTAGCTGAAGTTTACAATGGCGCCTGGTGTTATAACTCGGCTTATAGCTGTATGGTAGCTGAAGTCACAATGGCGCCTGGTGTTATATCTCCGCTTATGGGTGTAAGGTAGTCACATTACAACCCGGTAAATATGAGCTTTAAAGATATAATAGAAGTCATTAGTAACACACATTTAGACGTAGACTATGGACTTTCAGCAAGGCAACTCGAACAAGGAATTACTATTTAATCTGATCCATTTCCCCAAAGGCTGCTGCCCGAGTGGCTACCCTTCCACCCCTCCAAGATGTGGTGCCACACCCGTATGGTATACCTGTCCATGGCCTTTCTCCACGGGAAGAGGTTTACAGTCAATGAAGATGACTTCATTCGGTCGTTGCGGAAGGTATGAACATGTCCACCGTGAGAAAACAAATACCCACCTGTGCATAAAATGGACTTGTCCGACATTGCCGAGGTCGGATTCGTTTGAGGGAGTTATAATTATTTAAATACGGGTAAATGTTTTTTAAAGACTACACTTTATCATCATCTTTAAAGAGGCTGTACATTATGTTGATATCTCATATTAGAAATAAACGTCCCGTGGTCGATGTTTGTCGTACAATAAAACACTGCAGGGGGAATATATGATTTATTCTCCCTGCAGTGTTTTATTGTACGATCAACAACTCCCACTCGTCGTATATTTCTTAACTAAGACCAGGCCAGTATGATCAAAACATCCAAATTGGCAACACATTTACTTGCGATGCACAAATGCCGATAACGATGATGGCATGTGAATGATGTTATTGCCGACGACGATAAAGACGGTTGGGATAATGGTGATGATGGTGGTTGGGATGATAACGATGCTGATGATGATGGTGATGATGGTGATGATGATGCTATTGCAGGAACTGTACAGTGAGGACTACAATCACATCCAATGGAAGGATCACAGAGGGAACGTCAGTCTTGCGGATGTATATGTTCCCAAAACATGGATTTGCAACCTAACATATCGTAGGTTCAAATAACGAACTTTTGAAAGTTTGACTGTTGTAATTTCATTTGTGTAATTAGTCATCAATATTGAGCTTGTTTAACTATCTTTACTTGTGTTACATATGAGTACTAAACAAATGTTGTCCACATGCAGAGCTTCAGATAAGCAGCGTATTTGCGTAAAATACCTCCCCAAAATATTCAAAACCCAATTACTTTTAATTAACTTGCGTACAGAAACGCATGCAATAAATAAAAAACCCTCAAATGTATAAAAACAGCACGCGTAAATACCCAAATGAAGCCTTTTAGCAGGCGTACAAAGGAGTTAATTTCCGAGATATAATTACGAGCTAATTTACTTTCCGAATCAAGCCTATATATTTAAAACAGTATATACATCGAAAACATTATTTCATCTTTTTTTAAAATCATAAAATGTTCACTAATTTTGGGAAAAACCCAATAGAGTGATAAATAGATGAGTGAAAAATATTGGTTACCCAATGCAAAATGTAATAACCCAATTAAAATCGAAACCCTAGAGTAAAAACTCAACTGCTCAAAAAGTTATCTGGAGCTCTGGTCACATGTGACGTTCTAGACCAGAGATCCTGTGCCCCAAGGGAATAAAATTGTAAATTCAAAACTTTTGCAAGAGAAAGTGATTACCCATCATTGCAAATTACGAATTATATATACCCATATATGAGATGAGACGAATCGTAAATACCATTGTGTCTTGGTCAGAACAGACCTCCGAGCGACTTTAAAGCAATTCATGGTCGTTTGGTACGAATGTGACCGATGCAGATTCAGCAATCCATGCTTGTCGTAAGAGGCGACTAACGGGATCAGGTGGTCAGGCTCGCTGATTTGGTTGATGCATGTCATCGTATCCCTATTGCGTGGATCGATGCTCATGATGTCAGTCACTGGATTGTCTGGTCAAGACTCGATTATTTAGAAACCGCCGTCATATAGCAGGAATATTGCTGAGTGTGGCGTTAAACAACAAATAATAAAAAAATGGTATCCGTTTCTTGTCGAAAAAGGCTATTCAGTAATCTCTAACTGCGTCTTGCAGGTGCGCTGGATGTGTACGAGGGAAGATGCGTTACGTCTGTAAGGGAGGCAGCTCTTCAGACCTGCTACAACCATATCTGTGCCGATGACGAAGCCACGAGTTACACTTGCCTGTCACCGGTTTGTGAAGAAAGAAACTTATTTTTTTCCAAATCAGAATTATGCTTTAACACCGCTTGATGATTTCCCCTACGTAGGATAACAAAGGCCCGCGATTGAAGACCCTATATTGCACCACGTCATACATGGTTGTCGCACACACGTCGATATGGTTGTACATCGCTCTGTAACCATACAGATAATAACACATGAAATGAGATTTATAAAATACTAATTACGTAATACATATTGTCAGTGCTTAACAGCGATCTACGGCCATCTTAAGTCTATGTTGAAATATGAGCGTGGTATCAGCATGTCAAGTAGAGCAGGATAGTGATGAGTGCCTTCGTTGTCTAGTAGAAGAGCGTTCGGCCGGAGTACGGAAGCTCGGTCAGTCACACACACACACACACACACACACACACACACACACACACACACACACACACACACACACACACACACACACACACACACATCACCTGGCGCACAATGGTGAAATGTTGGTACAAGTAATTCATGTTGTAACAACGTTGGATTCGACACCACAAAGTCATATTTTCCTATCATATAATCCTGTCTGATACATTCGACATCCTGATTCGATGCATTTGTAAATTATGTCACACTGAAGGAAATACTTTTAAGCTCCAACCCTCGAATGAATGTGTTCTTGCTAAAAATATCTTTCACTGTAATTCTGATATCGGTTTCTGATGTGTGTGTTTCTGTACTGCATGTTCGAGGTATAAGTTTTCCCCTGATATATGATATTAACGATATAGAAACGCATCCAGATAACAATCTTCATGGGTGCTTATTTACAAATTTACAAATGGGTATAGTGTATACCTGTTAGAAATTGTGTTAGTGAACAATACATCGCCCATACAAGTGCCAAACCCTACATCTGCGATTCTGACAGGTGAGCAAGCTGCTGCAGATGCTGGTACGCTGGGTTATGGAAGGTGGTCAGTCTGATGCCTTCAAGCGGCATCGTGACAGAGTTCGTGATTACCTATGGTTAGTACTCCTATCAGCTTACATAGCACATCCAAGTGCCCTTCACCGTGAAGATCCGGGTTAGAATAGGCCTTAAAGGGGAAGTGTACACGCAAAAATCACTTTCTTTCTTTTTCTAAACAAAACGCAATTTTAGAATTAATTAGTATCTGTGTTTGAAAATATACGATCATTTTTTTCACAGTGAAAGTAGGAAGCTCACAATAGTGTGAAAATGATATGCCGTTATGAGGCCTTCGTTTTTCGAGCTAAACAGGCCTGAGTTATCCCCCTTAGATTATGACGTAATTGGTGCCAATTCAACTGGGTCCCTGTCTATTCTCAACGCAAAAGATATCAAGTACCAGTTTGCGGTAAAACAACATGGCCTACGACACACTCCGGCGCAGTGGTGACTCAGCATAACGCTATGCTGGCTGGCATCTGAGACGCTAGAATCACACATCTAGACCTACACCACGTGAAGCGGCTCTAACAAAGCATGATGACGTCATAATGTTTATCAATTGGCACCAATGACGTCATATTGCAAGGGGCATAAGCCATGGTGTTTTTGTTGTGGAAATAGAACACTTGGTAAATGTGAAAAATATAAATCGTTTTAATGCGAAAAATATGTTAATTAATTGTGATATTTTTATATTTTTGTCTATGACACTTCTAGGTTAACACTTTTAATGTGGAAAAAGTACAAGAAAAATAGGTTAATTTCCGTGTGAACTTGCCCTTTAAGCAAACCATGCTTATCCTAAAAGGCGACTAACGGTATCGGGCTGGTCAGTCTCGCGTTTGACGTTAACCTCCCCCCTCCCCTAGCGAATAGAAATAAAAAAATAATTAAAATAATAATAATTCTGATGTACGTGCCGGACAGTGTAGCGTCAGTACCGTTGTATTTTCCTGGGAGATGTATTTTCATAATGCCACAAACATTATTTCTTCTTATCATTTATGAAAAAAGGGCTTTGTGGCTTTAGTTGTGCGTTGTGAGGAAATCTCATAACATTGTCATTATTTTCCAAGTTGTGTCCTAGGCAACATCTAATATCTAAACTCTCACATTCCACACGTCCCTGCTTGTAATACAGTAAAATGTTGTTGATTGCAATTTGACAGCGTGTTCATCATGTACTATCATCGTACTGTACAGGTTGGGCCGAGATGGTATGAAGTTCCAATGCTACAATGGTTCACATTTATGGGACACTGCCCTCGCTGCCAGGGCTTATAGTGAGGTGAGTTTACATATAACAACACATATAGTAACAGTTTCAAAGTAAGTAGGGGCGGTCGGGTAGCCTAGTGGTTAACGCGTTCGCTCGTCACGCCGAAGACCCAGGTTCGATTCCCGACATGGGTACAATGTGTGAAGCCAATTTGTGGTGTCCCCCGCCGTGATATTGCTGGAATATTGCTAAAAGCGGCGTAAAACCAAACTCACTCACTCACTCACTCAAAGTAAGTTACAGTTGTGGTTAAACTGTTGTCCGTTAAGGAAGGCGTCCTATTTTATTTGCTACATGTCGGGGAGTTATGCACATAACTGTGTTATGACATGCTAACACGTTGGTAAAACAGTTATATTATGGCAAGAGAGTTGTTTTATGTTTTTATCTGTTTAATGAAATCTCATACTGAAGCGACACGGGATCAACTGTTCAATAGACACGGATATGATGTAATACGAATTCGTCAATAACGCCTGGTTTCCTCCAATACTTATAATGCTCTCTCCGCATTTCTATTTGCCGACTATACGCTATTAACTTATTACTGGTTAAGTCACATGATTAACTGTCCTCCGCTGTTGAGGTTCATTTTAAATTCAGTGTTACTGAACCTTCTTTGTACAGTTCCAGAAATTGCATCTCGTCTGTGTCCATTAAAAATGTAATAATTGTTCATTAAAACTATATTTCTACATGCTGAAGACCGCCTCCGTGGTCTAGTGGTAGAACGTCCGCCCGGAGAGCGGAAGGTCCGGGGTTCGATCCCCGACCGCGTCATACCAAAAGACGTTAAAAGATGGTACTTGTTGTTACCCTGTCTGGCTCTCGGCATTAAGGGGGTAAAACAAGGACTGGTCGGCTCGGAGTCAGTATACTGTGTCTGAGTGGGGTATTCATGTTAAACTGCGGCAAGGTATCTCAGTGAGCTAGCACTATAAATCGGCATCAGTCCGGACTAGTACAAGCAGCCACACAAACACACACACACGTACATGCATGTCGCTATATAAGTGCAATAATCTTGGACGCGACGTTAAACCCCATTTTACCTCACCTCACCTGCTGAATCATCTAAACTGATACTGGACACTGGGTAAGACCCTTGCAATATCATTATATACCTTGTGTCCAGGCGGGCGGCGCGAGTGCAGGTTTCACGGCCTGTGTACACAAGGCCCACGCCTACCTCCGGAACTCTCAGATAGAGGACAACGTCCAAGACTTCAGGGACCACTACCGCCAGGAGAGTAAGGTAAAGTTGGCCCAAGTAACGACAATAATGTAAACTTGTGTACGGTACAGTCGCAGGAAGTCCTTGACATTTCCTGAACACTTGTGTCATTGTGTCAGTGCAGTGGTTTTTGGTACTGTCTCCTTCACATATGGAAAGACATACCAGTACATATATACTGTAATTCAGGTAAATTACCAAATATGTTCAAAATCTAGACCCAACATACTGACGCGAGACAGTTTCAATGGAAAACACCAGAAGCTTGGTTTAAACAGAGGTTATGACACCTCTTTTAAAGACTAAGACAAAATTGTTATGGATGAGCAACTTCTTTATTAATGCTCATCCATAACAATTTTGTCTTAGTTACCATTCCAACTTCTAAATGACACTCAAAAAAGAGAAACGCTTTTAAAGAGTCGTTCAGTTACATCCCCTTGTGTCAGCATAATGTACAAAGGAGTGAGTGAGTGAGTGAGTTGGGTTTAACGCCGCTTTTATCAGTATTCCAGTTATATCGCGGCGTGTCAGCTTAATGTGGGAGGAAAGACCGAAGTGATGCAGGTCTCAGACGTTTACCACTTCGGTGAAACCCACGAGCACGGGTATTGTGCTGACAAACCTAGAAACATAATCGGGGCGAGCCGGGATTCGAACCCAAACTCATAGGTTTCTGGCGTGCCCAAGGGACGCAACTCTGCACAGCGAATCGCTGCGCCTTAGACGACTGGGCCACCCGTGCCCCCCATGTACAAAGGAAGGAAGTCAACCAACTTTACCTGAGTACAGTATCATGCCGACCAACAAACCTCATAACCCAGGATTCGAACCCGTAACAAGAGTCTATATTTAATCAACTGTATTGCGTTTTTTTTTTAAATAAATAGAAACATGAATTGTTTCGAGTGGCGTAATATACAGGATATCAGTTTGTTGCTATATCAGTTTTTTTCTTTATGGATAGACATTTAGTTCGGTATAATGAATATTATATCTTGAAAGCATCTTTGACATCTGTTCAAAATCTTCAATTGTCAAATGTCCTTATCGACCAATCATTTGACTGTCTCCTCGCATCCAGGGTGGGTTTACGTTCTCCACACGAGATCATTCCTGGATCGTGAGTGACACAACGGCTGAAGGACTTGTCGCCATCCTCGTGACACAGGGAGGTTACACTGGCCTGACTCAACCCGTCCCAAGGCACAGGCTTTGTGCAGCAGTCGATACTGTATGTATATTTGGTTAATATATTGATATGCAACGTTAATATGTTACCAGTACAAAGTTTCCCATGAAAATCTTCACTAACTACATTACTCTTTTGTAATGATGTCGTCTTTGTTGTAGACGTATTGTAGACTAGTGTAATTACTACCTTTATAGAAATGTACTCACCGCCAAAAGAAACGCGAGCCAATCAGTCAAATCATACCACAGAGTGACTTTCTTCTTATCACCAAATGCTGCACGTGATTTCCAAACTTTACGCGCTAATCCTGCACGAGACAAATGGTGCATCTCGAGTCATGAATCTATGACGTCACATGTGATGCGTTCATGAGTATTGGTTCGGAAAAAATACCAGTATGTTCGTTTTGTGCATCAACCAATCTAAAATCTTCATATATTAACCAACAGGTTTGATATTCGCGTTTCCTTTGGTGATGAGTATAGTCCTGGCACTACAAATATTATTACAATTATGTTGTTAATGCCTTGTATTCTCCTAGAATAGTGGCTATTAAATAAGAATATCTAGTAACTCTTTTTAAAGAAATGTGTACTTTACTTAAATTCTGGTTGAGACATAAACAATAATTCAAATTAAATCGTTTTAATTTGTGTCGACCGTCATCAGTAAGAATGGATATGTTTTTACCGGGTCCCCTTTGGAGATGTGCATTGTGGGAATCTTCTTCCTGTGACAGTTACTGGGCATGCGCTGTGCAGATGGCGGGTTCCCCTCCTATGAGACAACCAGGGGGTCGCCATGGCTGGAACTCCTCAACCCATCAGAAATCTTTGGTAGGTGGCTTTGCAGCAGATGTTAGGCAAGACAGGGTTGGGCCATGTTGTTTGTAGGCATCTACTTAAATAATATACGAGGCAAATTATCATTTCCGCCACAGGGATGACATGACCAGCTTATGGCACGAGACACAGTTACTGAACGCTGTTAGCGAACCGGAGTTAAACAATATGCCCAGATAATGTGGTGCCTGCATCGATGCTCAAATATTGACCAGATATTTATTTACCTTATTATGAAGATAAGAACGTCATTTTTTTAAATTGCATATAATTTCTGACTACACTTGTGGGTTCCCTTAAATAAGAATTGTTCCTCGTATATATCTACACAACTGCAGACAAGTCAGGATTGGGGCCATGTGGTTGGTAGGTTGGTTTAGAAAACTGTCTGATGTTTCTAAAATTTTAATGACGAAATAATATTCATTGGATATCGTTACTATCTCTCTAGCAAGCGGAATGTCCAGCTCGTGGGTGACCACGGTAGTGAGTCGGGAATCTAGTCTGATAACTAATGTTGCATGGTTGCATGACCTGACACTCGTGTATTAAAATCTATATCACATAAGCTCCATGCAGAGTATTGGACTGAATGGTTCACGTGCATTACATATATCCACCCATCACCATGGGGGGTAGTCAACCACGGGCCTTGATTTCGATCTCACACATATGTTTGATACCAGATATCTCAAATGGGTTTCTCACCCACATGTGTGTAAGACAGGGTTGTTACCTAATAATTATAGCAACAGATAAACATGTGGTTGAAAGATAGTACCCTTTGTGATTGTATTTTGGCGATACCCACAGTTTCAAAAAGATAGGAATTTACAATAAAGGGACAAACGAATGTACAGAGTTCTTACATACCAGGGTTGTGTACGCATTTTGGTGTGAAACACTAAACTAACTTTGCAAGATGATACTGTGTTTCTATAATGAGGTGGTCGTTGAGGAGTTTCAGAAAAGACCAAAAGCTCGATAAAACATTTTGAGTTGATTTCTTGCAACTGTTGAACGGTTGTCATACATTTTAGATGTCTCTCATTGCTGCATAGAAACTATAAGCACTGGTTGAAAAAAGGAAACTATAAGCACTGGTTGACGAATAGACACTTTAAGCACTGGTTGAAGAATAGAAACTATGAGCATTGGTTGACGAATAGAAACTTTAAGCACTGGTTGAAGAATAGAAACTATAAGCACTGGTTGAAGAATAGAAACTATAAGCACTGGTTGAAAAAAGGAAACTATAAACAATGGTTGACGAATAGAAACTAAAAGCACTGGTTGATGAATAGAAACTATAAGCAATGGTTGAAGAATAGAAACTATAAGCACTGGTTGACGAATAGAAATTATAAGCACTGGTTGAAGAATAGAAACTATAAGCACTGATTGAAGAATAGAAATTATAAAGACTGGTTGAAGAATAGAAGTTATAAGCACTGGTTGAAGAATAGAAATTATAAGCATGGGTTGAAAAAAGGAAACTATAAGCACTGATTGACAAATAGAAATTATAAGGACTGGTTGAAGAATAGAAACTTTAAGCACTGGTTGAAAAAAAGAAACTATAAGCACTGGTTGACGAATAGAAACTATAAGCACTGGTTGACGAATAGAAATTATAAGGACTGGTTGACGAATAGAAACTATAAGCACTGGTTGACGAATAGAAATTATATGCACTTGTTGAAGAATAGAAATTATAGGCACTGGTTGAATAATAGAAATTATAAGCACTGGTTAAAGAATAGAAACTATAAACACTGGTTGAAAAATACCAACTATAAGCAATGGTTGAAAAAAGAAAACTATAAGCACTGGTTGACGAATAGAAATTATAAGGACTTGTTGATGAATAGAAACTTTAAGCACTGGTTGAAAAACACAAACTAGAAGCATCATAAGCACTGGTTGAAGAATAGAAACTATAAGCACTAGTTGAAAAAAGAAAACTATAAGCACTGGTTGACGAATTGAAATCATAAGCACTGGTTGACGAATAGAAATTATAATGACTGGTTGACGAATAGAAACTTTAAGCACTGGTTGAAAAATAGAAACAAAAAGCACTAGTTTTGTGTTTTTAGACTAAACTCATCAAACCGAGTTGGTGTTTATCAGTGGAACGGAACAGTCAGTTCCCGTGAACACATTACGCCATGGTTAACCCAAGTTCACAATATTTCAGGCAACATCATGGTTGATTACACGTGTGTGGAGTGTACCTCGTCTGTCATGCAGGCACTCAAACTCTTCACTGATGCGTATCCAGGTTACAGGACTGATGAAATAAAAATGACACTCCAAAACGGATTAGACTTCATAACCACGAAGCAGCGTTCTGATGGCTCTTGGGAGGGGACGTGGGGCGTCTGTTTCACGTACGGGGGATGGTTTGCTCTGGAAGCCTTTAGTTGTATGGGACTGACGTATGTCGGACACACTGCCCCGGGGGCAGTGAGGAGGGGGTGCGACTTCCTGGTCAGTAAACAGATGGAGGACGGGGGCTGGGGCGAGGACTTTGAGTCATGTGAACAGGGGCGGTATGTTCAAAGTGAGCGCTCGTACTTCGTGAACACCTGTTGGGCCCTTCTGGCATTAATGGCGGTCAGGTAAAAAGATTTTGCTGGTTGTGTTGTGTTGTGTTGTGAATATTTTTCATATTTTTGAGTGAATGAGTGAGCATGGTTTTACGCCGCTTTTAGCAATATCCAGCAATATCACGGCGGGGGACACCAGAAATGGGCTTCACATCATATTTTTGAAACATGTTAAATGAAGATTAGTTTAATGGAATGATGGCATATAAAAGTCAGCAGTGGACCTTTTCTTTCTGTATATTTTCTGAAATTTAGTTACATTTTGTTGTTAATATATTAAAGTAACCTTTTTGATTGCCCTCCATCCAACATACGAGTACTGTTATTACCAGAGCATTTGTAACTGACAGAATTTTACTTCATGACAGCAGTGTCTATTTCATCCCCACGTTCTCCTTTCAGGTACCCAGTTATGGACGTGCTGGAGAGAGGAGTTCGATCCATTATGTCTAGACAACTTAGCAATGGCGACTGGCCACAGGTGGGGTATCAGTGCTGTAATGTGTTCAATCCAAGCAGACTATGGTTTCTGGAACCAGGTGCTCTGATAGAATGCTTACTGTTAGATGCAACTTGCAACTTGAGAATGAGAATGTGTCCGTGATTTAAATTGTCCAATATGCGAATTAGAGTAAGTTTCTAGAACAAGTGGTGGAAAGTTAACAGTTTTAAAGTGAATTTCAAGGGTGAATGTGTCCGTGGTGTAAAGTGTTTAAAACAGACAAACGCCAGCGAATTTGTCCTCGATGCAGACTGATCAGATTAGTAGAATGCTCCACTTGTTGTTTTCAACATGTTTACATTTATAAAGATTTATTTTCTACTCCAGCATTACTTTCTAGATGCGTACACTTCCTCCCTTAGTCGAGACGGAGATTTTATGTGTTGGAAAAACATTTGCAGGAAGGTGTGAACGGAGCATTCGCGAAGTCTGGCGCCGTCAACAGCGACAGCTATCGCAACATCTTCCCCATCTGGACTCTGGGACGATTCAGCAAGCTGTATCCGGACAACCCTTTAGCTCAGTCTTCTGAAGATGTGTGCATTTAGCATCGAATAATGTATTTCCGCGTCTCTTTGTGCACATTCTAATAAAAAAATAAATTCAGATAAAAAGTGTGTGTCATAAGTATAGGAAAGAGTCGTATTATAGTTTGCAAAGTCGCTGACTTGGTTGAATCATGTCATCGATCCCAATTGCGTGGATCTATGCTCATGATATCAATCACTCAATTGTCTGGTCCAGACTCGATTATTTACAGACCGCCGTCATATAGCCGAGTGCAAGAAACCAACCAACCAACCGAGTTTGCAAAGTGGATAACGTGTCAGACTTTACCTGATGAAGGGGTTCCATTGCCAGGATGGCGGGGATATCTTTTCGAGGTTCTCTCCGTCCGAGGACCTTACAGTTGTTCCATACCATACACCACTGATGTGATATTTGTTCCATACGTACACTACTAATGTTACACTTACTCCATACGTACACTACTAATGTTACACTTACTCCATACGTACACTACTAATGTTACACTTACTCCATACGTACACTACTAATGTTACACTTACTCCATACGTACACTGCTAATGTTACACTTACTCCATACGTACACTACTAATGTTACACTTACTCCATACGTACACTACTAATGTTACACTTACTCCATACGTACACTACTAATGTTACACTTACTCCATACGTACACTACTAATGTTACACTTACTCCATACATACACTACTAATGTTACACTTACTCCATACATACACTACTAATGTTACACTTACTCCATACGTATACTACTAATGTTACACTTACTCCATACGTACACTACTAATGTTACACTTACTCCATACGTACACTACTAATGTTACACTTACTCCATACGTACACTACTAATGTTACACTTACTCCATACGTACACTACTAATGTTACACTTACTCCATACGTACACTACTAATGTTACACTTACTCCATACATATACTACTAATGTTACACTTACTCCATACGTACACTACTAATGTTACACTTACTCCATACGTACACTACTAATGTTACACTTACTCCATACGTATACTACTAATGTTACACTTACTCCATACGTACACTACTAATGTTACACTTACTCCATACGTATACTACTAATGTTACACTTACTCCATACGTACACTACTAATGTTACACTTACTCCATACGTACACTACTAATGTTACACTTACTCCATACGTACACTACTAATGTTACACTTACTCCATACATACACTACTAATGTTACACTTACTCCATACGTACACTACTAATGTTACACTTACTCCATACGTACACTACTAATGTTACACTTACTCCATACATATACTACTAATGTTACACTTACTCCATACGTACACTACTAATGTTACACTTACTCCATACGTACACTACTAATGTTACACTTACTCCATACGTACACTACTAATGTTACACTTACTCCATACGTACACTACTAATGTTACACTTACTCCATACATACACTACTAATGATAGACACTTACTCCATACGTACACTACTAATGTTACACTTACTCCATACATATACTACTAATGTTACACTTACTCCATACGTACACTACTAATGTTACACTTACTCCATACATACACTACTAATGTTACACTTACTCCATACGTATACTACTAATGTTACACTTACTCCATACGTACACTACTAATGTTACACTTACTCCATACGTATACTACTAATGTTACACTTACTCCATACATACACTACTAATGTTACACTTACCCCATACGTACACTACTAATGTTACACTTACTCCATACGTACACTACTAATGTTACACTTACTCCATACATATACTACTAATGTTACACTTACTCCATACGTACACTGCTAATGTTACACTTACTCCATACGTACACTACTGATGTTACACTTACTCCATACGTACACTACTAATGTTACACTTACTCCATACATACACTACTAATGTTACACTTACTCCATACGTACACTACTAATGTTACACTTACTCCATACGTACACTACTAATGTTACACTTACTCCATACATACACTACTAATGTTACACTTACTCCATACATACACTACTAATGTTACACTTACTCCATACGTACACTACTAATGTTACACTTACTCCATACATACACTACTAATGTTACACTTACTCCATACGTACACTACTAATGTTACACTTACTCCATACGTACACTACTAATGTTACACTTACTCCATACATACACTACTAATGTTACACTTACCCCATACGTACACTACTAATGTTACACTTACTCCATACATACACTACTAATGTTACACTTACTCCATACGTACACTACTAATGTTACACTTACTCCATACATATAATACTTATGTTACACTTACTCCATACGTACACTACTAATGTTACACTTACTCCATACATATACTACTAATGTTACACTTACTCCATACGTACACTACTAATGTTACACTTACTCCATACATATACTACTAATGTTACACTTACTCCATACGTACACTACTAATGTTACACTTACTCCATACATATACTACTAATGTTACACTTACTCCATACATATACTACTAATGTTACACTTACTCCATACGTACACTACTAATGTTACACTTACTCCATACGTACACTACTAATGTTACACTTACTCCATACGTACACTACTAATGTTACACTTACTCCATACGTACACCACTAATGTTACACTTACTCCATACATACACTACTAATGTTACACTTACTCCATACATATACTACTAATGTTACACTTACTCCATACGTACACTACTAATGTTACACTTACTCCATACATACACTACTAATGTTACACTTACTCCATACATATACTACTAATGTTACACTTACTCCATACGTACACTACAAATGTTACACTTACTCCATACGTACACTACTAATGTTACACTTACTCCATACATATACTACTAATGTTACACTTACTCCATACATACACTACTAATGTTACACTTACTCCATACATACACTACTAATGTTACACTTACTCCATACATATACTACTAATGTTACACTTACTCCATACGTACACTACTAATGTTACACTTACTCCATACATACACTACTAATGTTACACTTACTCCATACATATACTACTAATGTTACACTTACTCCATACGTACACTACTAATGTTACACTTACTCCATACGTACACTACTAATGTTACACTTACTCCATACGTACACTACTAATGTTACACTTACCCCATACGTACACGACTGATGTTACACTTACTCCATACGTACACTACTAATGTTACACTTACCCCATACGTACACTACTAATGTTACACTAACTCCATACGTACACTACTAATGTTACACTTACTCCATACATACACTACTAATGTTACACTTACTCCATACATACACTACTAATGTTACACTTACTCCATACGTACTCTACTAATGTTACACTTACTCCATACGTACACCACTAATGTTACACTTACCCCATACGTACACGACTGATGTTACACTTACTCCATACATACACTACTAATGTTACACTTACCCCATACGTACACTACTAATGTTACACTTACTCCATACGTACACGACTGATGTTACACTTACCCCATACGTACACGACTGATGTTACACTTACTCCATACGTACACTACTAATGTTACACTTACTCCATACGTACACTACTAATGTTACACTTACTCCATACGTACACTACTAATGTTACACTTACTCCATACGTACACGACTGATGTTACGGTAAACCAACTGCACATCACTGATGTTACGGCATACCGTACTCTACTGATGTTACTGTTACTCCATACCATCCACCACTGATGCCACAGTCACCTCAGACCTAAGGCCTGTGATATTACAGCTACTCTAGACTGTAAACTACTGGTGGCCTACCTCCCGCATGTTCACACCACTGATGGCCAATAAGTTAGTCTTTTAACAACTGCGTGAGAGTATGGAAAACTCACTTATCTACAGTAAAGGAGGCTTTGAACACATTTAACACCCTCCGTATTCATCAGATGTGGCATCATCAAATTTCAAAACTTGAAGAATGAACTGTCTTGCAAGCATGATGCCAGGGTATGAAACTCCCAAAATATTCAGCCAGACCACAGGACTGGCTAGCTGAAATACTTGCCAGCCCTGACCAATACCTGCCTGCCCACTATAATCATATGTTTCTCAGGATAAGCTAACGGGGTTTCTTTTGGGTTACATTTTATCATTGATCTTTACATGTGAATTAATGTTTATCATCAGGAAATATTTAGAATACATTCACATATGAAATAAACCTACCGTCGGGCAGGGGGATTTGAAAATCTGGCAGCCCGAGTTGAAATCAACCCGTCTCGGACGGTCGGGCAGGCAGGTATTTCGAACACTGAATTGATGCATATGACGATGACGTCATTTCTGCTGTGGGTGACGGTTAACACCTTGTGGAGGAAAGCGTCTACTCCAGTGGAGTCTAGCAACTCCCGCCACGTTGACAGAAGTGTGTTGACCTCGAAAGGGATCAGGTTGAAAAGGTTTTCTCAAAAGAAATTAAATTGTCAACGGCGCCTGAAATGGCAATGTGCTTTATGCTGCTTGTATAAGTGAGTGAGTGAGTGAATATGGCTTTACGCCGCTTTTATAAATATTCCAGCAATATCACGGCGGGGGTCACCAGATATGGGCTTCACACATTGCACCCATGTCGGGAAACGATCCCGGGTCTTCGGCGTGACGAGCGAACACTTTAACCACTAGGCTACCCGACCTTCCGCTTCTTGTGTGGTTGAGCCAGGCGATTCTTTATAACAAAATATCATGAACATTGCACTCCACATGTCTCAATCACGAAGCTGACAGGTATGCATTGGTGTAACTGCAAAAAAATGGAAAAATACGCGAACCAATATCTCAGACCCAATGTCCACTGTTGGTGAGAGGCATAGATGACAAGCGCGTCACCAGGTGAGCTAAGTAATATCAGTGTATATTATTGGAATACGATAGGTTTGCGTTGGTGAAGGAAGAGCAGCATGAAATAGTACTTGTCAGACTGACAAGCCAGTAGAGCCAGGTAGGGATCATGACGTTGATCTAGGAGAGTGAGTGAGTAGGCAATTACGCCACATTTGGCAATATTCCAGAAATACCACGGCAGGGGAAACCGCAAGTGTTTCTCAAACACTGTGCCCATACGGGGAATCGAACCCGAGCCTTCGGCGTGACGAGCAAACCAGTTACCCACTTGACTACCCCATCTTTACCAAACCCCGTGCTCGAGGAGAGACTCCTAGGTACCGTAGTAGAACAGTCTAGTGGCGGTGATGGAGCTCGGTCGCGTCCAGGACAACATCCATGTTCTCGTGGGTACACAATTAAGACCAATGCTGACTTTATTCCATGATAAAAGCATTTTGTTTTCTATTGTCATTCCCCGCCACATGTTTTCCCCATTTCGCAATACGCGGTTTCTGATTTACCGACTCAATAACATTTATTCAATGAAATACTGACCCTGATAAATGTATGACACACAGCCATTAAAAAAATGTAACCAGCGTTAGTTCCGCGTCACGAATATATATAGGTGTGTTGCAGATAACGAACTGTGGGCGCCGTGTTTGCTGACATAACGAGATTCCTGGAGCGTTGCGGGATATTTTCATCATCGATTTGAAAACCGTTCTTTGAAGATATTCTAATACCAGAACGTAATCAGTATATTACATAGGATCCGTGTTACTATGGCGTCCTTGACCTTTGCCTGTGTAACTGTGATCTGTCTTCAGCTGACGCAAGGTAAGAATCTTGGTTCCCGGGGTGGGTCACGGGTGGTCCAGTTGTCTAAGGCGCCGCGATTCGCTGTGCGGAGTTCGAATCCCGGTTCGCCCCGATTATGTTTCTAGGTTTGTCAGCACCATACGTATACCCGTGCTCGTGGGTTTCACCGGAGTGGTAAACGTCTGAGGCCTGAATCACTTCGGGCTTTCCTCCTACATTAAGCTGACACGCCGTGATTTAATTGGAATACTGTTAAAAGTGGCGTTAAATTCAACTCACTCACTCACTCAAAACTCAATGACATATATCTTTCAATTTCAGTATTTTACTGAGGATGAAAAAAATGGCATTACATGTTACATTTTCCAAGACTTTTGAGATCGCCTAGGATCACTGATTGATAGTGTTTAATAATCACGTGCTTATGATAAGTAGTCAGAGTCATAAAAAGGACTACTTTTGGCAGAGAGTACTTATGATTACGGAATAGTTTGGTCACTTTAATACAGGAAAACCCATATAGCACATGTAACTCAAATATGTACTAGTGTATGACAGCAACACATTTGATAACATTATATTCATGATCACATTCTGTGAGGCATGTAACAAACCTGTGTACAATGGGCTGATACCCGGATGTTGTCAAACAAGTCGACACATATGCCAATATTCACGATCATACACTACATTGTAGAGAAATGACGTCATGCATATATCTAGGGGGAGCCATGAAGAATGGTCAGACTAGTAGGCTCCGGTGAATGCTGACTTTTTGACAATTTGACCACATTGTTATAAGACTAATTGAAAGAGTTGAATCCTGCGCGTCATATTTACTGTCGCCATAGATGTATGTTTCAAATTCCCGGTGTCATATAAATCATAGTCTGTTATCCATAAAACAGAACAGACAACTGACAATGTAGAAACGGTCGGAATCAATGTGTCCTCAGGTATTCTTAGTGGGAACAAAATAAAAACTTTTTCTCCCGCATCACTTTTGAGAAACATTTGCTTGAATTATTAACTTTATATGCGGACTAATGTTATTTATGCTTCCTCCTAACGTCAATGTACCAAGGGGACGGTGGGGTGGCCCATTGGTTAAAGCGTTCGCTCGTCACGCCGAAGACCCGGGTTCGATTCCCAAAATGGGTATTATGTGTGAAGCCCATTTCTGTTGTCCCCCGCCGTAAAAACCATGATACTAACTCACTCACTCCATGCACCAATTGCACTGAAATGCTCTGAAAATGAACAGCTGCTGCAAGTTCAAGAACTGCGTCTGAAGAGATTTGGTCATAGATAATTTCAATATTGCTCATCATCATTGTGGGACAAATGACAATCAGATCCACCACTGTTACCACGCCTCTCATTGTGGACGGATAGGTCTTCAGCAACCCATGCTTGCCGTAAAAGGCGACTATGCTTGTCATAGGAGGCGACTAACAGGATCGGGTGGTCAGGCTCGCTGACTTGGTTGATGCATGTCATCGTATCCCAGTTGCCCATCTACATGCCCGATGACCTCTACATCTCAGAACAGAATACTGTATAATTCACTGCCTTATTTGTGTTAATGATTTCAAAGACTGGCCATTCCAACCAACGAGGCAGCGAGGTCCTAGGTAGGACATGTATATGTTGGAACAGGGGTGTCACGATAGGCCTACATAATGTGTTATTACACCTGATCACGAGACCACTGACCTATGAACTGTCTTTATGAATTGTTTTTAGAAAATGTTATAATGTAGAATTATCAAAACGTCTGCTTACATGATTAACAAATGGTTGACTGCGTCGTAAGAAATACTTCTCACAATGTAAATTTCAAAGGTAGCTTGTGCACCGTCAGTGGACCCCAGCGTTTATACCACCTAACTGCAGGAATCTCACTCATCATTAGAACAGTACTTGCTCCTAGTCTTTTACTGTCTTCCGTTGGCACAGTTCCTACAACTATAAGTTGATCACTTAAACACTATATGTTTTTGTAATTTCCAGCAAACCCGATGTCCTTTCTTCATATTTAATGTAAACTTAATTCTAATTCTGTTTACTTGAACCCCTAGCGACATCGACAACAACATTGAGAAGTACGATCCCGTCACCAGCAGCAACTGTAACCACACCACCGCGAATAACGACAGCATCTCCCACGACGCCAGATATGGCTACATCAAGAACTACGACTATATCGACCACAACATCGGAGAATCTGGCAGCACACTCTTCATCAACGTCACGCATGCCTAATAATTCAACTCAAGATAATACAGGTATGTAGACAAATATAAAGTCCTGGCGTCCGTTCCACAAAGCTATCGTAGCGCTCATGTTATCGTTACTCCCATACTTTAACATAGACTTACGATTGACGTTACGTTACGATCGCTTTGTGAAACAGGGTCCTGGGCTTTTCTAATCACTGACATATCAATAATTGAAGCTCCCTCTCGGTGTCGAGAATTCAGATTATACGGAAATGTTGTTCAGAACTACAGTCCACCCCTCTCATCTTGGAACGATTATTTGAAACCCTATCATTTGAAACACCACTATCCAGTTTCAGTGAGTTTTGATCAGCGCCACTTGGCAATATGTGTGTAGATCCGAGATCTTTCTCTTGGAAAATGGAATCTGGCACACTATCTGGCGAGGAGGGTCGGCTGGTTCTCGCACAGTTTGGCTGGCTAGGCTCTTTATCAGCTCAGGGCTATTGTCCCTCTACATGCCTAGAACAGAATACTGTATAATTGTTAGCCTGATTTGTGTTAATGTGTTTCATATGAAAGCGTTACATTTAAAGCGTTTAGGACAAGATGCCTGGCCATTCAAATCATCAACCTTACTGAGGCAGTGGGGTCCTAGGTAGGCACTGCACTTGTACAAAAAGCTGTCATATTCCATTTATATGTTAGAAAATGGGTGCTACGATGATACCATAGCACAGTCTCCACAGCGCATGCATGTCCTGTTGGGGCGGTGGAGCAACCGACTGATTTCGGCGTCACCCCGAACGCCAGCTGCCGTTCCCCACTTTTTAAAGTCCATTCTTGTATGGTTGTGAGAAGAGTAAAACATATTCATCTTCTCACATCTGTCATGTCTATCTTAAATTCCCTCACTTTCAATATCAGTGCAAACTACGGTCCCGTCGCCACAAACCACTGTATCTCAACCACCGGTTATAACGACTGCATCATCAACGCCATCAGTGACGTCTACCACAAATACATCTACTACAGCGACCACAGCATTTGAGAATCCGACTGTTACTACGTCAACTGTGTTGTCCACGCTATCAGCAGCAAAGATGACCGCTGGCACAAGCGACATCACACCGACGGCGACGTCAACACACGCTCCATCAACGTCACACATGCATAATAGTTCAACCCAATATAACACAGGTGTGCAGAACGCATACAAAATACTTGGTTTTGAAATCACTGACATCTCTTCTGAAACATTCTCTCGGTGTCAAGAGTTCGGGTTATTCTGAAACATACACATATTGGGGCGGTGGAATAACCGACTGGTCAAAAGGTCATGTCGATCCCCTGCTTGTATGGTTGGAAGCGTTGTAAAGCTATATTAATACTCACCTATCACATTTATCATGTCCAGCTTTAATATTTTCACTTTGATTGGGTTATTTCAGAGACTGGTGGCATCGATGACGCTCTTCTCATCACCTTGTTCTTAGTGACCGTCGTCGTCATTGTCATCGTAATATGTATAACAGCAGTTATCATCACTCTCATCAGGTACAGACTCGCACTCTGATTGTCTAGCACCGATCACGCTCTTCATATTTGTATCTGGATCTACCATTCGCAATCCACTAAAATGTCCGGACTGGTGGTACTGGGGTGTCGCTGTCATCATTGCAGAATTCCGTCCCTTAGATGTGCTAGGATTCGACCCGTTTATTATCCTTGGTTAATCAGCACAAACTGTCTCGTTGGTTGCATGTTTTTGGTAGTATAAATGGATTAATTTGGGGGTGGATGGTGGCAACTATAAAGGTTAAGGGTCTATCGAAGTAAGCAGATACACTTTCAATGTCTGCGTCCTGTTTGAGAGAAATACTATATTTAGACATACAGCAACAACACATTTATAGTGAGTGAGTTTGGTTTAACGCCGCTTTTAACAATATTCCAGTTATATCGCGGCGTGACAGCTTAATGTGGGAGGAAAGCCCGAAGTGATGCAGGTCTCAGACGTTTACCACTTCGGTGAAAGCCACGAGCACGGATATGGTGCTGACAAACCTAGAAACATAATCGGGGCGAACCGGGATTCGAACCCACAATCATAGGTTTCTGGCGTGCCCAAGGGACGCAACTATGCACAGCGAATCGCGGCGCCTTAGACGACTGGGCCACCCGTGCCCCCCAACACATTTATAAACACATAGAGAATTGTTCAACCTCGGCGTGATACATACGCTACCACTGTGTTCGGAGACGGTTGTCGTCACAAGTGTCAAGTTTCCTTGTAACCATTAACCGAGTTTGGTTAAGTTGTGCATTTTCCCGTAAGTATTGTACCAAGTTCGTGGTGGTATATGTGTTATACAAGTACCTGTGAATCTGATTTGCCAATCTAATTTCAGAATATTATTAATATATATTTCGAAACATGTTTAAACTATAAACATGTTCAAACGTGTTTAAATTCTGAACATGTTTAGATTATGGGGATGTTGTGTTGAGGTGGCCCAATGGTGTTTAGGCTGTGAGACGATCGCTCATTTCATGTGTTTAGACCTAAATGCGTTCAGACAGAACGCTTCAAATGTGTATTCCGTGTGGGATTTACACAAATTCCTAATCATGTTTAAATCTAAACATGTCTGGTGTGTATTTATATTTAAACACATTTTTTACAGTGTACATGGACAATCTTCCAGTTTTTTATAACGCAAACCGGACGTTCTAATGTGTTCAATATTACAGGAGACAAAGGAACAGGAACTCGAAGGACAATCCTCCAGAACCTCGCTACGCCAGCTTTGTGCCTCCAGATGAAGCAGAGGGCTACCGAACTCTTGATCGTGCTGTGTGCAAGAATGAATTCCTACATCTTGAGGAACGCAATACTTGTGAAACAGAAGCTGAACCACACTGTGATAGACTGGAGATCGAGTTGACAGAAGATGATTACACAACCATTGACGGGGTTGCAGCAGTGTAGTATATCCAGTGAATGGTAGCGAAGGGATGGGGCTTCCATTCCGGACGGCAACTGTTGATTTGTTTGTTTATTTGTTTGTTTGTTGTTTAACGCCACACCCAGCAATATTACAGCTATATGACGGCGGTATGTCAATAATCGAGACTGGACCAGACAATCCAGTGAGTGACATCATGAGCATCGATCTACGCAATTGGAATACGATGACATGCATCAACCAAGTCAGCGAGCCTGACCACACGAACCCGTTAGTCGCCTCTTACAACAAGCATATTTTTTACGGCAAGATTGGGTTGTTGAAGAACTATTCCACCCCAGATCTTCACGGGTCTAGGCAAATGTTGAGATAGTCTGTTTATAATAACTTACTAAAATCTGGATAAGATGTTAATTTGCTCCGTCTGTATTAACGGAGCGTTGTTATCCGTTTTGGCTGTACATGCATTGCATGCATACCCTGTGCTATAACTTCAGATAACCAGATACATGCTAGCAGTTTTGTCCCAATGCAAATGAGGTCACCTGGTAGGAACTACTTGTAGTTAGTTCCATAGAATGATGCGATGCATCAAAGACTACCGCGTAACGTTCAAAATTTTTGATGTAGCTGTCCCGATGTGTGCGTACATATGTATATCAGCACTCATGATATATATAAATGAGGCAGTTCACTCAGGCATTGTATTCCTACTCGGTTGCTATAGTTACTTAGTGACCTCTGAGGCTTGTCGACGAGTGCTGATGCATTGATATCAATACACATGGGTGAGATTCTATGTATCATCCAAAACAACATCCTTCTTCTTTCAACTGTTTCAATTTGTAAACAGTCACAACCAGTATCTTGAGTGTAAACATCACAGCTAACCTGCTTCGGTGACGTCATTTGATTGTGACATCATGGTAACAATGACATCACAATGATCTGCAAAGCATGTCTGGAAGTCTGGGTCTCCGGACAAATTGGCTACGGACAAACGAGATGCCACTCGACTGTTTTCATCTCTCTGTTTTCATTGTCAGTGTAAAACCAGGTAGTCACTGTTGATTAATAAACATACCATTCACATAAACGTAATACATTAATTATGGCGGACCTCATAGAGATTCATGCGTCTTTTCTGATTCAGGATTATGGTTTTATCTCTATGTGAGTGAGTGAGTATGTGTGTTTCTACGTCGCTTTTAGCAATGTCACGGCGGGGGACACCAGAAATGGGCTTCACACATGGGCTGTACCCATGTCAGACTGGAACCCGGGCTTTCGGCGTGACGAGCGAACGCTGTAACCACTAGGCTACCCCACCGCCTCTGTATCTGTGTATATACATATTCTCTCTTATTCCTGTGTACCGCTTGAGGGGCATAGGGCCTTCACAACAGGTCTCCATCTGTTTCAGGCTTGTGCTCTTCGTTTTGCTTCTCCCCATGACATGTGGATTGATCTCAGTTCTGATTCCAGGGTTCGTCGCCAGGATGTTACGGGTCTTCCCCTCTTTCTCTTGCCTTGTGGGTTCCAGTCGAGTGCTTGTCTCGCGATGTTTCCTTGCGGCCTTCTTAGGATGTGACCTATCAATCGCCATTTCCTTTTCTTGATGGTTTCTATTATTGGAGCTTGGTTTGTTCTGTTCCAAAGATCCTGGTTTGATAATTTCTCAGGCCATCTTATTTTAGCAGTTGTCTGAGGCATTTGTTGATGAAAACTTGGAGGTCATGATCTGTCTTCTTTGTTTGTTTCCATGTCTCAGATCAATTAATCCGCAGTTTGGTTCTCAGAGTGATGTTTGTATTCTTCCATATTGGTCTTAAGGTGACAAAAGCGTGCCTTGCTTTTCCAATTCTGGCTCGGATGCCATCGTTTGCTCCGCCTGTATTCGTCACTACACTCCCCAGATATGTGAAGCGACTGACATCTTCGATACATATTAATGATCTCTATATATTTTTGTTTGTGCTCGTTTACATAACAAAATAGAATAAATCACATATTTTACATGTGTGCTGTGTTCCTTATAACTTATAAGACAGCTGTTAAAATGATGAAATGAATAAAGCTGTCTCTCATTTACAGAGAACCACACTGTTAGGAGAAAAAGAAAACAGAGGTGATGTTTTAAAAAAATCTTATTCCAGTTTTAAAATGACAAAGTCTAAACAGTGTGCCGGTGTATAATTTGGTTGAATGTGGATCTGAAAAGTCGTTAAATGTTTTCATTTTTTGATCAAATCAAAATTTGAAAAAAAGTTTCAAATTCTGTTCAGCCATGTTTATGTTCTTGGCACAGGGAAACAACAATAGGCTGGCTATACTTCACATGCTATGACAATATATATATTTATGTCTCCCCTATAGATAAACACGGGATAAATATCTTTATCAGATATAGTGCTCTGTGAATGTTATCTACATTGCACAATCAAATGCTGTTTTAAAAAAACCCTATTGCATTCAGTTGTTCAACATGGAGGAAACCTCAATACAAAGAGACCCTACATATATCAGGCCACAAATGATGTGCCATTGCTAAAGTCAGTTAAACCAGTTTGGTTCACGTCGTTTTGAACAATATCACGGTTATATCACGGCCTGTCAGCTTTAGTGAAACCCATGGGCATGGTGTTGATAAAACACGGATTATTATCAGAGCTCAATATATCCTTTTAAAGCTAAGGGACGCAACTCTATACTGCGACTTGCGACCCCGGGGCTAAGACGTTTCATTTCGAATGAAATTTACAGGTATCGAATCTACAATTGAAACCCCTAAGTTAAAAACATATGATTTTTTCTCTTAATTGTAACTGCATGCCATATACATGTGTGCTTATTAACGGACCGTATTTGAAAATTTCAAACGTAGTTTGCCAATAGCAAAAAGATGTAGGAATGGATAGTCTATATATTTTGAAGGATTGCTCAATTCGAAGTACTTTTTACATATGAATGTAAGATTGGAATTATTTTGGTGCCATATACTTTAAAAATACACATTAATCACTTGTCAGATGAACACATTTTACCATAACAATAACAATAACAGTATTACCTACGTTTTAGAAAGTCTTTGCAGCTCCATGGTCACAAATTGAGCCGTAACATTTAGCTTCCTGTAAATCGATTATCTGATCTTGTTCAATAATGATCACATAGCCTCAAATGCCGTGCCACTGATTTCCCAAACCGAACCAGAAATAAAAGAGACCATTGCAACCGCCTCATCTGTTTCATATACTCTTAAAATAGTAGGTGGTACTCGGGAATACCTTAAGATTTCCAAATTGTAAGAAATATTAGTTTGTAGTAAATGTTGCATGGTAATAATGACCAAATTGGAAACACAGTGCAATCGGTAATGACTGTATGAAGTCATGACTGTAGATGTTATGACTGACAACGATCTTGAAGGACGATAGATGGGAAATGTGACGTTTTTGGATCAGTAGTGCGTAATATCGACGCAATTTGTTAAACATTCATTCACTCGACAAGGCATACTTCGTAAAAGGCTCCCAATGGCGTTTTGAGGGAGAATGTCCCACTGCAGCGTCTGGCCAAGTTCAGCCATCGTGGTCTGCGGCCTATGACGTTGACGCACACGTCTCCCTGTCATGGGGCAAAGGTCAGGGCTCATTGCTGGCCAAGGCATTCTGTGGATGTTGTGCTGATGAAGGTGAACATGGACGATTCATGCACGATGAGCACAGGCATTGTCGTCCTGACAAAACATCGACCCACACAAAAGGGACAACAAAGATTGTCAGTATATTTGTTTGATTGTTGTTTAACGCGGCACTCAGCGATATACCAGCTATATGACGGCGGTCTGTAAATAAATGCGTCTGGACGAGACAATCCGGTAAAAGATATCATTAGCATCGATCTACGCAGTTGGGAAACGATGACATGCATCAACCAAGTCAGCAAGTCTGACCAACCGTTAGTCGCCTCTTACGACAAGCATAGTCGCCTTTTACGGCCAGCATGGGTTGCTGAAGACCCGGATCTTCACGGGTCGTCAGTAAGTTGTGCCAAAGGGTGTCAATATATTATCAAATGCTTCTTTCCTTGACAATATGGAGTGGGGTTCGGTCAGTTACAGTGATACAACCTCACACCACAACCGATCCACAGTCGATCCAGCGACCAGGGACCAGGGACGGCACAACACGTGGCTGTCGAGCGTGGAGATTATCTGCATGTCGACGATTTCTAATCGTATGACCTGTAATTCCAATAGCCTGAGGAATGTTTGCAGCAATTTGATTCGCCGTTTGAGCTCGTTTTCTCTGAGTCTGGTTTCGGATTAGTCGATCCTGCACTTTATTCGTTGACCTAGGCCGCCCTGTACGGGGTCGATCGGCAACAATTTAGGTTTGATGGTGCCTGTTCAATAGTCTGCTCATCACAGAATGTGAAACATTGAAGGTCTTTGCCACTGCTCCATGACCTCTGCCAGTTTCCAGCATGCCAAGAGTTCCGGAGACGCCCGCGCATTGCAGACACCGTATGGCTTGTTCATACACAGACAATGAATAAATAAAGTAAATCACAACAGAATCAATAACATTGACAGATAAATAATGGTGAACAGAGATTAATCGATCTTTCTTGAAAGTGTCAAAATCACGAATGACACCCAACGCATGTGTGTGGCACTTCTTCGTGTGGCACTTGCAAACTGTCGGATATGTTTTGGTGTTGAGTTATACAGACAAAAACGTTCTTGCATAGGATGTTTATCGTCATCACTTTGTTCTAATACTTAAGAATTGACTTTCATTTTGTGTGAGTTCATTGGCGTATGCACCTTCATAGAGTGACTACAAAACTGTATGAACGTCGGATCATGTGACGATGTTTGGCCCCCACTCTAGGAAGGTTCATACTCCAATGAACTCACACAAGTATTAGTCATCATTGATCAATTGGCCGATCATTAAAAGTTGATTTTAAAGATGTGTCAGTTAGATACTAAGGTAAAATCAAGAATTATGGGTCTAAATGATAAGAAACAACGCTTATTGTTAAATGTTAATTATTGTTAATTATTCGTGCTATGGAATTCCCAGGGGTTTCCCCAGGAATGTGGAAGTAGTCCGTCAGTGTTTTACGTCGTTTCAAGAGTACAATCTCGAGATAAACGTATGAACGTCAAATTGAGCGTAAGTTTCGCGAGCATGTGACCCACCTCTCTGTGGAAGAGCTGTATGTCATGTAAACTTCAACGTAAAAAAAATGAAATTCACATTTATATTTCATGATCCCCTACTATATAAGTATATATTTAGATGTATGCATAAATACTGTTTGCAATATTGAATAACATAAGTAATGACTTCCCTGGTTGCTGCGTTGTATGATCTCAATACGTCTTTCATACAGACAATAGCCATGCCATAATCGCCTACTGCCGTCGAATCATCTCGTGACTCAAAATATGAAATTGACATATCTATACTTATACCTACATTGACATATCTACATCCATACCTACATTGACATATCTACATTCTTACGTACATTGACATATCTATATTGATGTACCTATATTCATATCTAGCTTGGCATACCTACACTGACATATCTACACTCATATCTACATTCATACCTCGGTAACAGATCAATGTGTTCAGCTGATATGCAGGGTTACAATAATAAACACTATTGCGACACTATTACAATATAGGTACACACTGTTGTGAAAGTATTACGATCGTTTGTATGGCACCTCTGCTGTCAATGTCGTTGAATTACCCGGCAAGATAATATGTGAGTATTGTCTGGTATAAAAGTAGGACATGTTTTCTGAATTGACAAGTGTATCCTCAAGCAAGGTGTCTTGGCCCAAAGCTACATTGTAAGTGTTTTTTATATTATGAATAACACTATCTCTTTCATCCGTTTAACTCTTTTGAAAATATGGATAGTGTAGGTCCCCCATACATATTAACCACTGATATCTTGACTTGATGGACATGAATTGCGTGCAGAGATAACTCGGTTGATTTTAATCCGTTCTCCTATATAAACACGTTGTTCACGTACAAAAGCTTATGTCATGGCTGAATGTCCAACCATCATGCACAATGCTACGTTTTTATAACTACTCATTTTGCGAAACTGAAGGTTTGAAGTTGAACAATTGACTTGCCTTTGCATGTGTTTGTGATGGGTGCAACTGGTGGGGCAGAATATTTTCACCTTCTCGCGAACACCTGGGTCCACTTGCACAAAGATATCTTAGCACTGGGATGATCGTAGCTCCTTTACTTTAATATAGACTTACAATAGTCGTAGTGCTAAGGTCGCTTTGTGCAACTGGGCCCAGGCATCATCACTATTTGATAGTGATTCATAAACACATGCTCATGATCTAGTCGGAATCGTATAATCAACTCTGCTTTTAGCAGCGATTTCTTTTGAATGTGGAAAAGGTTTTGTCGATTTTATTCACAAAATTGTTCTCCGATTTTAATTCATGGCTAAAATACCATAGAAGCCATTTCAAAATGTCATGTTGACTCGCTATATCTATATGTATCATCTTGTATGTATATTGTTTTGATTTATGCGTAGTTGGATTATGTTATGAGGTTTAAGATTCCACCTTGGCTTATAACGAAGATTACACTTCTACACTGAGTTTATGAAGCTGGTATAGTTCTTTATTGATCAGAACAGAACACGCTGCTCCACTATTGTGCAGAATGTAAACATTGTGATTCAATGGTGGGATATTCTCGTGTTAGGTGTAACCACAATGCAAAGCGTCGGGGACTTTAGCTGGTCAGGGGTCGGGTGTGTGTGTGTGTGTGTCTGATTCAAGCTCTGTCCTGTTACAGACTGTACTGCTTCTAGGGCGACAGTTCGTTTGTCACAGACACAAATTGTGCTGCTATGATTCCACAACAATCCACCGGTTACCTGTGTGCTCTGTTACTATTTCTGTGTCTGTCCTACACAGGTAAGAAAATATAAAAACTATTATTTAAGTGAACTAGGTTAGGTGAAATTTGGCTCAACGTCGCGTCCAAGATTATTGTACTTATATAGCGACGTGCATGTACGTGCATGTACGTGTGTGTGTGTGTGTGTGTGTGTGTGTGTGTGTGTGTGTGTGTGTGTGTGTGTGTGTGTGTGTGTGTGTGTGTGTGTGTGTGTGTGTGTGTGTGTGTGTGTGTGTGTGGCTGCTTTTTCTAGTCCGAACTGATGCCAATTAATAGTGCTGGCTCACTGAGAAACCATGCCGCAGTTTAACATGAATACCCAACTTAGACACAGTGTACTGACTCCGAGCCGACCAGTCCTTGTTTTAGTCCATTAATGCCGAGCGCCAAACAGGGTAACAACAGGTACAATCTTTTAACGTCTTTTGGTATGTCGCAACCGGGGATCGAACCGCGGACCTTCCGCCCGCTCTACCATTAGACCACGGAGGCTGTTTCAAGTGAACTAAATTGTGTCACACAAAGGTAGATATCATCAGCGTAGTACTCATTTTTCGTTCATTTAGGTAAAGACATTGGGGTTACAAATACAAATGTGTACCCTAAGAGTGTATCCCTTGTTTGTTTCAGTATCTGGTGAAGACGCTTGTCCCTGTGTGACTGGCTCCAACTGCCCCGAGAACTGTACATTAGGTAATGTGAATCTCCGCGGAGGATTGTTAAACTGAAACGTATTCATGCTATTCTATATCATAATTCAACTTCGAGGTAAGGACAAGGTAAGACAAGGGCTCCTTTTCAACACTGGAATTGTCAAATTTTGATACTGCAATAAACTTGCTAATGTAATAAGTATGGAAATTATCACACATTTTCAAATGGCTGACAACTACAGTTTGTCTTTTGAACAGTTACACGGTTTGGACTTCACACATGAATAATTACATATAAAAGTATGTCTAAAGCGAGTAAAAAGCTAAGTATGAACAAGTCAAAGACTTACTCGTGTTCAAACGTTAGAAAGAATCATTTCCCTAATACCTCTACGACCAGTTTTTTCCAACTTATTTTTAGTTTACTGTTTATTAAGTGTTGTTATTAGACCCAAACACACAATATTTGAAATGCATAACACCTAATTCTCATTCACATGAATTGATCTGATACTTTCCATTATGATTTAAAACAAAGTTTCCGATTTCTTAACTTGTGCATATCCTCTTTACCAATCCGGGCCTTTATCATACATTGTCCTTTGCACATTATTACACATGTCGAGGATCAACAAACAGTATGTCAATTCTTATGTGGGGCAGGAGTGTGCAGAGTTGCGTGCCAGTAATCTGTCATCGTGCATTTGAATCCCAGATTCTCCTTGATTATGTTTCTTGGGTTGTCAGCACCATACCCGTATTTGACACTTTCATCAACAAGGTAAAATCTGAGACCCGCTTCACTTCGGGCTCTCCCCTCACATCAAGTTGACCCACCGTGATTTGACTGAAACAGCGTGCACAGCGGTGATAAACAAAACTCACGCACCAACTTGTAGGAAGTGATGCACATGTACTGCGCATCTGAAAATGAATGGTGACATAGTGCAAACACGACATGAAAAATGACAAAGATCCAGGTCATGAAAACTCATGTGTCCAACAGTGGGGTCAAGTTCTGCCTGGTACCTTTTGTTGCGTTAGCTTGTTACAGTCGTTCAGGGAGACATGGGTGGAATTCTGGTCAGAACGGCGCTAAACCAAACTCACTCACATCTATTGACATACGTCATTCTCCTATTAAAATGAACAAACCAATGACAACTTGTATATTAACTATTCTCAATATGGGCATGTGGCTGTTATTTACAGAGGACAGTTTGTATGTAATTGTCACTATCAGTTATTTTAGAGAAAGCATTGTTATGAATGTGGCAATATAGTATAGTATTTAAAAGTCAACCATTGATATGGTGTACAGATGTAAGGTAATTTATGAAGACTGTTCGATAATACGGCTGTCCTATGGGGAAAAGTAATTGCTTTAAAACTAAGAGAAAAAGTATGTGTTAGAAAAAGTATTAAAAAACCTACCAGTGGTGTTAATGAGTTTGCGAAATGGAGTGATATAGTGAGTTTGTTGTGTGATCTATTTAGAAGATAAGCCTACTGTGTAGGTGGTGTACTCGCCCTGTATATTAGATACCTCTTATTAATACTTGCCCATTCTACCATGACGGCATGTGCTCTCTTGGAAAGCGTAATTACACAAGGGTACAGTGATGCGCTACCCTAGAACAGGGCGTTAAGGGGTCAGAGATAGATATTAACGTAACGAGAGGTACTAAGGTTCAAGATTAGAATACTCATTGTTTTGACTTGTTCACATTGTTTTTAAGAAGAAGAAGTTGCCAAATAACCCCCAAGTCCTATTTTCATCACAACCTGTCATATTTGACGTGCTTGGACTCAACCAAGTCATTTCTTGGAAATCATTGAGGCAAGTAATTTCTTCGAAATCAACAGGTCACCTCCAATTGTGGGGGTGACAGGTTGTAAAAATAATGAAACCCCCCGCAAAACTTAAACATTTCTTACCAAACTTTGTTGATTAACATGTGCTTTATTATAAATGTTCACGTTTTATTAGTTAGTTAGCAATTATGCCCAGTAAATGATATAAATTAAAAACAACAACACACCTCTCCAACCCGAACTGGGATTACACGTCACTGCTTTCAATGGCTGCCATACTACAGTGACAAGTTGTGTGATGCAAGATGACAACCCTGACCTATGATGTTGTTCAACTGTAACCTGTAGATTTACTGGGAATGATACTGTTGGCACAACGTGATAGTGAATGCAGTTTTCGTGGCCTTTTGGAAAATATGTCCCACTGTACTTTAAATTCGTCACCTACCAATCCTAACGTTTGGGGTTAACGGCGTTGGTCATGAATATCGGTCACACAAAGATTTTTAAACAACATGTTGTCATGAATATAGGTTTTTAAAATACTATTTAGTTATATCTTATTTTACTTTATTATCTTTTATTACCGATCATGTCCCTGAGAGATTTATAAACGTTATCGTTTCTATGCTAAATATTTTGCCTTACTATTTGACAATGATTCATAAACACGTGCTCGTGATATAGTCGGAATTGTGCAATCCACCCTACTTTATGCAGAGATTTCTATTGGATATGGAAAGGGTTTTGTCGCTTTATTAATTCCATCACAAACATCCGTTTTGTACCCCCTATTCGGTACTTCCGCCCAGAGAAACGGGGGATCTACAATAGACCGCAAGGTTCATATGCATATTCATTAATTAATTTCGCTGGTCAAAATTTTAGTTAATAATTCAATTGCCAGGATTTAGAGATAATCTGTAGACGCATTGATTTTTCTCGGTGCCGATAGAGAGACTCAGTACATTTACCATGTGTTTATATATTAATCCACTAACTGGCGGGAAAATGTAGGGAAGGAATCTTTATTTCCGTCCTGCTATGAACCTGTATTAATTTCCCCTGTATCTAAAGAAAATGTTTTTGTCTTAATGTGTTTAAGATTTATATCATCGTTCAGAGTACAATTTAATGATATTTGCAGTGAATATAGCCCCACAAGCAAGGAGTACCTTTACATCTGGGGACAATTATAACTACACCATCACCGGTCAGGCAGCCTGGGTTACTGATGGTGTGACGTCAGGGCCGTGTGCATCAGTCTCGTCCCTATTTCCGGCATGGAAGGCTGAGTTTGGACAGAACAGGACAGTCAACAGGATCAAGATATTCTGGGAAGGTATTCAATCAGTGTTGATTATGCCATCTAGTATTAACCTGATGTATGACTCAACTACACATAACCTGTCATTGTAAACACATGCTCATAGTTTTGTTAACGAATACATACTGACAAAACAAAACAAAACAAAACAAAACAACTTTGTCTATATCATATGAAAAGTAAGACGATGCTTTTCCTGGTTGTGTAACTGTAAAGTATCGCCGTACAACTGTTACACTATTCAGTTCACGTTCCATAACACTCATTACAGATCACCAGGATGACATACTCTGCCACCTGTAGCCACAGGTATGTCATCCTGGTGATCTCGGACACCTGGAATATATACTCATAACAAGAAAACTTTGCCTATATGATATACCGAAACGCACAAGAAACGTCACCCCAAGTAACATTGCATGAAAAGTTGTCCTTTAAATATCTGGGTATTTTTTGTCAAAGTTTCTAAAATTTAACATGACCTTGTCCGGAAAAATGAAATTTGATGATAAAAAGCCCCCAAGCAGATTACAATAAAACCGATAGGCGCCCAAACGCATCACAGCAACGGCCATGGTAACCCGATTCACGTGAGTTCCGTGCAAATTGAAATGCACATGCGTTCCCCCATCTCTTGCCCTATAAAAATCCACCCAGATCGGATAACATTCATTCGTTATTGAATTGCTACCACATGCCAAATTTGAAGAAATCAGCAACACCAAACCCTTAGACGATTGCAAGCTGGACAAACCGCCCGGCAAGTAGCCAATGCATTTCAAGTCCACGTGAGGACTATATACAGGCTTGAACAACGGTACCAGACCACCAACACTACAGATGACCGACCACGTAGCGGAAGACTAAAGGTCACCACCCGACGTCAGGATCGTCAGATTGTGCGACAGCATCTTCAAGATCGCTTTGTAACTGCTGCGGAAACTGCTCGACAGACCATGGGGACACACCAGCGACACATTACTGCAGGTAACGTGAGTCGACGATTGACGAGCAGACACCTCCACTGTCACAGGCCACACCGAGGACCCATTCTTACACCACGTCATCGCCGGGACCGTCTTTGGTGGGCAACAAAGCACCAGCATTGGCGCCACCAGCAGTAGAGAAGAGTTCTCTTCTCAGACGAGAGCCGGTACTGTATCTCAACAGCAGATGGCAAGAGAGAGAAAGAGTCTGGCGACGCCATGGGGATCATTATTCGGATGCTTGTGTTGTTGAGAGGGACTCGTGGGGTGGTCCGAGCATCATGGTGTGGGGTGGAATTGGTCTTGCACAGAGGGTCAGCTCTGTGGTCTTCCAGAACATCGGTCCAGGGAGAGGCAATGGTGTCACAGCAGCTCGGTACATTGATCAAGTCTTGAGACCACACACCATGCCTCTTCTGGCAACCACGAGTTTCAGCATGATAACGCCCATGCCCACACTGCGAGAGCAGCAAGAGGCTTCCTCCAGCAGAATGGCACCAGAACCATGCAGTGGCCTGCCCTCAGTCCCGATTTAAATCCCATTGAGCACCTGTAGAACGAGATTCAAAGACGGCTTAATGGCGTCCGACCAAGGCCGACAACTGCAGCTGAACTGCGTCAGGTGTTCCTCAGAGTGTGGGCTCAAATGCCTATGGCCTTCATGAAGCGCCTCATCCATTCCATGTATCGACGTTGCACGGCAGTCATCAATGCACATGGCGGACACACGAGATACTGACTTGTGATGCCATTTTCTCAGAGACTAGTGTTGTGTTTCACTTTAAGAACATTTGACACTTTAATTTCAACCTTGATGATCAGTTTTGCCAAGGTTCATCTTTTTAATATGTCTCAAAGTATGTTTACAGTGTTTGGACAAATAAGGTTTCTCATATATCTATCCATGTGACGTTTCTTTTGTGGTTCAGTATATTTAAAGAAATGTGAATTTAAACAAAAGGACTTTCCTCATCCATGGTGTAACTGTTCTGTATCGCCATTAACATTACAAGTTACAACTGTTACATTATTTCTTTCACGTTACATAATACTCCTTACAGTTCAAAGGGGATGACAACTGTGTAACTGTTCCATACAATACATGTTACAACTGTTGCAATATTTCTTTCACGTTACATAATACTCATTTCAGGTCCACAGAAGGATGTTAGTGTGATGGTAGGTGGCAGAATATGTCACACTGCGGACAGCTTCTACACATGGATTGCAGAGTACACCCTGATCTGTTATGTACCACTGACGGGGGACAACCTCCTGATGTATCGCCAACCTACAGGACAATCCCTGTATTTGAGTCTCTGTGAAGTGGAAATATACGGTAAATCTTTATAGACTCATGTTACGTGATGATTCTCAAAATGAAACACTTCGGTTAACACAAAAAAACCAAATGCATTCTGAAATCAGTAATTAACTACACAAGATCAATGAAAATTAATAATACATTGAAATACAGAGGATAGCCAATACAATGGATGAAAAATGTGTGATTCTGGTCATAAATATGTGTGTGCAGTAATTTACAACACTAATTATATACCCTTTTCGCAAAGTCAGTGCACCACGCATGTCCAGCAATTGTCACTCTTGAAAACCCAGGAATCAGTACACGGAAACAGGAAGAAATTGGTGTTCTCCGATATGTATCATGTCCGTGGGGGACAGGTTGATGCAAGGCAAGGCAGGTTGTAGTTGGAAGTCAGGAAAGAAGGAAGGTGTAGAGGCCTTCCAGCACTATGCATGTACATATTCTACATTGCCCCTTATGATCAGTGTCTTACTGTTAGCGACTCAGTATTACTGAACGATGCGACAGCGACGTGTCGAGTTGTTTTAGTAACAGTATTGAATCATGTAAAGGCTGCAGGACAACTTAACAAGATGGCCAATTTCTATCTCTTCAGCATTACCCTCTACGTCAGCAGTATGGTGACTCTGGTGTTGTACTGATAGTGACTCTGGTGTTGTACTGATGGTGACTTTGGTGTTGTACTGATAATGGTGTTCGACTCGTGTCTTGTAGTCCGGATAACTGCTATTCTGATGATTGATTTCAGGGCCTGGTACCACAAAGGACGACGTCAGCTCTATTATAACGCCTATCGTGGTGTCGTGTGTCGTCATCGTCGTCGTACTTTGTGTTACAGTAGTTATCATCTGTTATATCAGGTGAGGAAATCTAGTCACATCTCTTTACACAAGTCACAGAGAACCCACAATGATCACATATTGCCCTTTGTGCCTTGGTCTATCTTATAACAACCAGTAAAGTAATGTCTCCACAGGAGCATGGCATTTTTACGACACAATTGTGTGTATCAATTTACATGAAAATTCAAGATCTCAAACATTAGTTCAAAAGGTTTCATGGTAGACGACAAATTTGACGCATCGCTGTGCAATGTGATATCCGATGCAATTCCATATTTTGACCTACACAATTTTCCTGTGATTGTTTAGATGAACACTTAACTTCTCTTTGTATATGTTTTTGATGGGTGTAGATACTGATTCAAGGAGGATATTGTCACCTTTTCGCGAACACCTGGTATTATCACTATTATTTAGTGATTCATATACACAAACTAATGGGTGGCCCGGGTGGCTCAGTCGTCTCAGTCGCCGCGATTCGCTGTGCAGAGTTGCGTCCCTTCACTCACTCACTCACTCACAAACTTATGTACATGTTGTCGGGATCGTACAATGGCCTCGTTGTGTCTCTTGTCTTTACAAAGGGGCATGTTAGCATGCGGCATGGTGAAACAAAAATAGCTTGTGGCGAATACCTGTTCCACTCACATCATTTTTATCACGTGTTTGCCTTTTAAGCCCAAAAGATGCTGTTTCGGTAGATAATCGAGACTTATTTTCTCTGGTGGGGCGTATTAAATTTTCATGATACAATGACAGTTGTCAGTTAATGTGCCAATTTTAGATAAGAAGTTCTAGCTCATGTTCAAGTTAGTGGGGCGGTGGTTCCAGTCGTCATGCAGAAGACCCATGTTTGCTGCCACACACATGCGTCCATGCTTGGTGTTTCCCATCGTGATGTTCTGGAAACATCATGTCACTGTTATTGACAGCGAGCAAGAATAAGGTTTAATTGCAGTGGTATCATTATAAGTTGATGGTATGCTGCTGCATCTTAACCAGATTTTACTTTACGTTCATTCATTCTAGGAAACAACAGGGTCCAAACCATCAAGAAGAAATCAGTCTGAGAGACACTATGCTGGTCTTGAATCCGGACGTGGCGATGGCGATTACTCGAGTCTAAACTGTGCATATGAGGAATTCCCCAATACATTGCCAGACCCTGCGCCCCTTAACACTACTGACAGCACTGGACACTCGCTCTATGCTAATGAGGGGATCGAATCCCGGATGAGAGACTTGAATCCTGACCGTGTGGTGTACGCGAATGGTTCTGTACAGATGGAATAGAGACACGCCACCCTGCTATACATTGCTAATTGAACGATGCCACCATTGCTTGTTATAACATTTATGAACATTAAGTTATTTGGTACATACAGACCTAATGATAAAGCGCAAAACCATAAACTAATAGTAACAATATCTGCGTTATACTTGGGTGTGACTCTCTGCAAACATATACAATAATGAGACAACCTTTATGAGAAGGCAGACTATAAATATATTGGCAGTTGGTTTACGGCGTTCGAAATACATGAGACAGACGCACATTTATTGTATGACATGAGTAAAATTAGGTCTAAACAGTCAGTAGTGTTTAGTAAATATGTACGAATGCATGCAAAATTGTACATAGATATAGATTGTTTACATTCGACTACGTTTTACAAACACAATAACATGAAGACAAAATCGCCACTACAGTTAAGAAACGCTAAAGAAATCACACAATTTAATGGTTTTGAAGATTTTATAGTGAAACTGGAAGCAATCCGTTCGCATAAAACTTTGCCTTGAAGGTGCAGAAAGACGTTGTCGACCTAGTCATTGTATTTTCGGAACATTTCTTCAAATAATTCCAAACTTTGGGAATAACAACTGTAGCCAGCGGTCTGCACAACACAGTATTACTATACGTTCAGAACAATTGCTGGTATAAGAAAAAGGGATATGTGAAAATAAATCCAACATAACCTTTGTTTCTATACTGTGTATATCTGTTCCTTTATGTAATAACTATTTTTAGTATTGAATGTCAATCTTTTGTCCTTCTAGCCAACAGCACATTCACCCGTTCTGTATTATACACACTCTCCTCATACTATATGTTATCACACAACCCGACATGATTTAGTAAGACCTCTATATCTGTGAAATTAACATACAACAATTTTCACCCGTGAGCTTTGGTAAGCATATAGGTCCCTAGCAACATAGGCTTGTCGGAAGAGGCGAGGCGACTGATGGGATCCAGTGGTCAGTCCCGGTGACTTTGTTCATTTCCTGTCACGTGTGTCAAATGCGAGGATCGATGCTCATGATGTCAACCACTGGCCTGTCTAATCCAGACTCGATTATTTACAGACCTGGAGTATAACTGGAGTGTTGCTCAGTGCCTCGTTCAAAAACAAACAACAATCAGCCTGCACACATTTGTAATCGTACTATAACAATATTCTATATTATCGTGTTTAACTCAAAATAATGCTTTCTGTTTTGTATACATAAAATCATGAACTCAGACATAAACTCTTGACATACAACCAGTAATAAACATATATCGGAAAAAAGTTTCTGTTTTTCATTTATTAATCGTTGACTAACTGTTGGAGCCAAATGTTGATAAAATAACAGAAATTTCAGAATTGATTAGATATGATTCCAGACAGAACCGTTGGAGTGGAAAGAAAATCGGGACATGCCAAGACACAGTTAGGACTTTAAGCTAAGATCCCGGGTAGACAGCCATAGAAGAAATGTCAGACAATTGGAAAATAACTTGAAATAAAAAGCGTAATCACTACTTCATGTATGTACACAAATTTGAAGACGCCATTCCTGTCATGTGCTGTTCATTTTAATCAATTGAGGAAAAGTTTGGCATCAATACAATATATTTCACATCCCTGTTTGACAAAAGTTGAATGCCTTCCTGTTATTGCAGATTACATGTGTGGTAACAGGTTTGATACCAGCAACTAGTGAATGTTATCTACATCATCATATGAGCTACATTCACTGACGGTTTTATGTTTTCCTCCTTTATGAATACTCAATATACGCCGGCCTTTATATCAACGGAACGTGACAGTATCAAACACTGGTACTATGTGTACGCTATTTTCTACAACCGCTGTCCAAGAAATGACACGGCAGGGGAAACCGCAGTGTTAGTCAAACACTGTACCAATATGGGGAATCGAACCCAAGCCTTCGGCGTGACGAGCAAACAATTTACCCACTTGACTACCCCATCTTACCCCACCCCGTGCTCGAGGAGAGACTCCTAGGTACCGTAGTAGAACAGTCTAGTGGCGATGATGGAGCTCGGTCGCGTCCATGACAACATCCATGTTCTCATGGGTACACAATTAAGACCAATGCTGACTTTATTCCATGATAAAAGCATCTTGTTTTCTATTGTCATTCCCCGCCACATGTTTTCCCCCTTTCGCAATACGCCGTTTCTGATTTACCGACTCAATAACATTTATACAATGAAATACTGACCCTGATAAATGTATGACACACAACCATTAAAAAAAATGTAACAAGCGTTAGTTCCGCGTCACGAATACATGTGTTGCAGATAACGAACTGTGGGCGCCGTGTTTGCTGACATAACGAGATTCCTGGAGCGTTGTGGAATATCATCATCATCGATTTGAAAACCGTTCTTTGAAGATATCCTAGTGCCAGAACGTAATCAGTATATTAAATAATAGCCGTGTTACTATGGCGTCCTTGACCTTTGCCTGGGTAACTGTGATCTGTCTTCAGCTGACACAAGGTGAGAATCTTGGTTTTCAGAGAGAACTCGAATGCCCTTTTTTCAAGTTCACGTTTATGTCAAGCACGAATGTCGTTGAGTTTCAAAAGTCATTGGGGGGCACGGGTGGTCCAGTCGTCTAAGGCGTCGCGATTCGCTGTGCGGAGTTCGAATACCGGTTCGCCCCGATTATGTTTCAAGGTTTGTCAGCACCATATCCGTGCTCGTGGGTTTCACCGAAGTGGTAAACGTCTGAGGCCTGAATCACTTCGGGCATTCCTCCTACATTAAGCTGACACGCCGCGATGTAACTGTAATACTGTTAAAAGCAGCGTTAAAATTCACTTTACTCTCTCACTCAAAACTCAATGACATATATCTTTCAATCTCAGTATTTTACTGAGGATGAAAAAATGGCATTACATGTTACATTTTCCAGGAATTTTGAGATCGCCTAGGATCACTGATTGATAGTGTTTAATAAACACATACTTATGATAAGTTGTCAGAGTCATAAAAAGGACTACTTTTGGCAGAGAGTACTTATGATTACGGAATAGTTTGGTCACTTTAATACAGGAAAACCCATATAGCACATGTAACTCAAATATGTACTAGTGTATGACATCAACACATTTGATAACATTATATTCATGATCACATTCTGTGAGGCATGTAACAAACCTGTGTACCATGGGCTGATACCCGGATGTTGTCAAACAAGTTGACACATATGCCAATATTCACGATCATACACTACATTGTAGAGAAATGACGTCATGCATATATCTAGGGGGAGCCATGAAGAATGGTCAGACTAGTAGGCTCCGGTGTTATAAGACTAATTGAAAGAGTTGAATCCAGCGCGTCATATTTACTGCCGCCATAGATATATGTTTCAAATTCCCGGTGTCATATAAATCATAGTCTGTTATCCATAAAACAGAACACACAACTGACAATGTAGAAACGGCCGGAATCAATGTGTCCTTGGGTATTCTTAGTGGGAACAAAATAAAAAGTTTTTCTCCCGCATGCTTGAATAACATTAACTTTTATATGTGGACTAATGTTATTTATGGTTCCTCCTAACGTCAATGTACCAAGGGGACGGTGGGGCTGCCCATTGGTTAAAGCCTTCGCTCGTCACGCCGAAGACCCGGGTTCGATTCCCAAAATGGGTATTATGTGTGAAGCCCATTTCTGTTGTCCCCCGCCGTAAAAACCATGATACTAACTCACTCACTCCATGCACCAGTTGCACTGAAATGCTCTGAAAATGAACAGCTGCTGCAAGTTCAAGAACTGCGTCTGAAGAGATTTGGTCATAGATAATTTCAATATTGCTCATCATCATTGTGGGACAAATTGCAATCAGATCCACCACTGTTACCACGCCTCTCATTGTGGACGGATAGGTCTTCAGCAACCCATGCTTGCCGTAAAAGGCGACTATGCTTGTCGTAGGAGGCGACTAACAGGATCGGGTGGCCAGGCTCGCTGACTTGGTTGATGCATGCCATCGTATCCCAGTTGCTCATCTACATGCCCGATGTCCTGTACATCTCAGAACAGAATACTGTATAATTCACTGCCTTATTTGTGTTAATGATATGAAGAAGTCTTTATTTGTACCAAGGCCACTGGCCCATATACAATACATACATTTGAAATAGTGTGGTACATGAAAAAAGGTAATGTCAGGTACAAATTTACAGGTTTACAGGCTTTTCATAATTACGTCTTCTTTCATAGCTGTAATACAGGTATTTACATAGTTTTCCAAGTAATTGTTTACACGAAGATGACAGTAGCGTTTTAAATGTATGCATATTTGGATTATGGCAAAATGTTGTTGGTAAATACAGATGTCTAATATCGTTGTAATATTCACATTCTAAAGTAAAATGATATTCATTCTCTATACTTGTTTCACATATGGGGCAGAGTCGTAAACGTAAGTCAATATCAGCCCATCTACCTTCGTTTACCTTAAGTCTTAGTAGCCCGGCTCTAAGCCTTATCGGGGGCACGGGTGGCCCAGTCGTCTAAGGCGCCGCGATTCGCTGTGCAGAGTTGCGACCCTTGGGCACGCCAGAAACCTATGATTGTTGGTTCGAATCCCGGTTCGCACTGATTATGTTTCTAGGTTTGTCAGCACCATACCCGTGCTCGTGGGTTTCACCGAAGTGGTAAACGTCTGAGACCTGCATCACTTCGGGCTTTCCTCCCACATTAAGCTGTCATGCCGTGATATAACTGGAATACTGTTAAAAGCGGCGTTAAACCCAACTCACTCACTCACTCTAAGCCTTATCAAAACATTTCGATATTTCAGTAATAATTGAAAGGTATTTTTCTGGTTCCAGGAGACTTTTAAAATCTTTATACAGAATGTACCTAGAACTAGCCTTGATAGTACTATTCCATGATTGGTAGAACATATTTATCAAAACGTTTTTAAATCTATTCATGAATGATGGTTTGTCGCCAACAGTTTGACTGAGCCAAACTATCCGTGAGAAAATAATATGGAACGAATAGAAGAAGCATATACGACATAAGCATATTATAAGATTTTCTTGGTATCCTATCTTCGTCCATTTCAATCAGTTTTAGCCAATACTTTACAGAACCACACATAGCATTTACATGGAGTGGGTACCGACCGCATTCCCCATACACAATAGCATTTGGGGTTTGCAAACCAACGTTAAGAAACTTCTTACAAGCCATAATATGCACTTGTTCTATTTTTTCAAATCTGTCTACGCCCCATATTTCCGCACCATATAAAAGAATAGGTTGAATCTGAGTATCAAATATTTTAAAGAAAACTGAAGTGTCAACAAAACCAATCTTCCGTAGATTGCGAAATATTTCCATTAAAGCTCGTTTACCCCTTGATGCTAGATCTGAAACACATTGGTTCATGTTTGATGTATATGAGAATACAAACCCAAGATATCTATAGGAGTTGGCGGTTGAAATACGTTTGCCTTTATAGAACCATTTCTCATGAACAGATAACCGCCCTCCTCGTCTAAATACAACAACACTCGTTTTATCTAAATTAACCGTTAATCCATGTGAATCTGCAAAGTTATCAAGAATATTAAGTTGGTTCTGTAAACCAGTTACTGTGTCAGAGACAAGAATAACATCATCGGCAAACTATAATAATAATATTTCAAACAAGTCAGGAAATAATTGTACGCCGTGTTTCCCATGTGATGAAACATCATTTGACAGTTCATTGATGAAAAAGGAAAATAATAGAGGGCTTAATATACAGCCTTGTTTAACTCCGTTAGGACAATCAAAATATTCTGTATAAATGTTATCATTACATCTCACACACGCTTTAACGGAGGCATAGATTCCCTTAAGTGCTCTCATCATCTTTCCACCCAAGCCTACATCGTGCAGACACTCCCATAGTTTAAGATGATTTACTGAATCAAACGCTTTTTTAAAATCCACAAAAGCAACGTATAATTTCCCTTTTCTTTTCGATAAACATTTGTTAACAATTGCATTCAACGTGAATATGTGGTCAGCAGGAGAATATCCCTGTCTAAAGCCTGCTTGTGTCTCGGGTAATTAACTTCTTATATTAGCCCAGTTTGTAAGTCTAGAGTTTAAGACACTTGTGTAAACCTTACTAATTGTACACAATAGAGATATCCCTCTAAAGTTATCAGGATTATTTTTGTTACCTTTCTTATGTAGTGGAAGGATTATAGCTCTCGTCCAGTTCTGAGGGAATAATCCAGAATCAAATAACTTATTGAACAAATTTCGTAGGAAAGGAGTTATTACATTTTCACAACATTTTAACATTTCATGAGTATTCTATGAAAGCTGACTGGCCATTCTAACCAACGAGGGAGCGAGGTCCGAGGTAGGACATGTATATGTTAGAACAGGGGTGTTACGATAGGCCTCCATATTGTGTTATTACACCTGATCACGAGACCACTGACCTATGAACTGTCTATTTGAATTGTTTTTAGAAAATGTAATAATGTAGAATTATCAAAACGTCTGCTAACATGATTAACAAATGGTTGACTGCGTCGTAAGAAATACTTCTCACAATGTAATTTTCAAAGGTAGCTTGTGCACCGTCAGTGGACCCCAGCGTTTATACCACCTAACTGCAGGAATCTCACTTATCATTAGAACAGTACTTGCTCCGAGTCTGTTACTCTCTTCCGTTGGAACAGTTCCTACAACTATTAGTTGATCACTTAAACACTATATGTTTTTGTAATCTCCAGCAAACCCGATGTCCTTTCTTCATATTTAATGTAAACTTAATTCTAATTCTGTTTACTTGAACCCATAGCGACATCGACAACAACATTGAGAAGTACGATCCCGTCACCAGCAGCAACTGTAACCACACCACCGCGAATAACGACAGCATCTCCCACGACGCTAGATATGGCTACATCAAGAACTACGACTATATCGACCACAACATCGGGGAATCAGGCAGCACACTCTTCATCAACGTCACGCATGCCTAATAATTCAACTCAAGATAATACAGGTATGTGGACAAATATAAAGTCCTGGCGTCCGTTCCACAAAGCTATCGTAGCGCTCATGTTATCGTTACTCCCATACTTTAACATAGACTTACGATTGACGTTACGTTACGATCGCTTTGTGAAACAGGGTCCTGGGCTTTTCTAATCACTGACATATCAATAATTGAAGCTCCCTCTCGGTGTCGAGAATTCAGATTATACTGAAATGTTGTTCAGAACTACAGTCCACCCCTCTCATCTTGGAAGGATTATTTGAAACCCTATCATTTGAAACACCACTATCCAGTTTCAGTGAACTTTGATCAGCGCCACTTGGCAATATGTGTGTAGATCCGAGATCTTTCCCTTGGATAATGGAATCTGTCACACTATCTTGCGAGGAGGGTCGGCTGGTTCTCGCACAGTTTGGCTGGCTAGGCTCAACATCAGCTCAGGGCTATTGTCCCTCTACATGGAGCATAGAACAGAATACTGTATAATATTTAGCCTGATTTGTGTTAACGGGTATCATATGAAAGCGTTACGTTTAAAGCGTTTAGGACAAGATGCCTGGCCATTCAAACCATCAACCTTACTGAGGCAGTGGGGTCCTAGGTAGGCACTGCACTTGTCCAAAAAGCTGTCATACTCCATTTATATGTTAGAAAATAGGCGCTACGATGAGACCATAGCACAGTCTCCACAACGCATGTCCTGTTGAGGCGGTGGAGCAACCGACTGATTTCGGCGTCACCCCGAACGCCAGGGGCCGTTCCCCACTGTTTAAAGTCCATTCTTGTATGGTTGTAAGAAGAGTAAAACATATTCATCTTCTCACATCTGTCATGTCTATCTTCACTTTCAACATCAGTGCAAACTACGGTCCCGTCGCCAGAAACCACTGTATCTCAACCACCGGTTATAACGACTGCATCATCAACGGCATCAGTGACGTCTACCACAAATACATACGTCCACGCTATCAGCAGCCAAGATGACCGCTGGCACAAGCCACATCACACCGACGGCGACGTCAACACACGCTCCATCATCGTCATACATGCATAATAGTTCAACCCAATATAACACAGGTGTGCAGTAAACATACAAAATACTGGGTTTTGAAATCACTGACGTCTCTTCTGAAACATCCTCTCGGTGTCAAGAGTTCGGGTTATTCTGAAACATACACATATTGGGACGGTGGAATAGCCGACTGGTCAAAAGGTCATGTCGATCCCCAGTGGCCATTCCTCACATTTTAGGTTCCTTCTTGTATGGTTGGAAGCGTTGTAAAGCCATATTAATACTCACCTATCACATCTATCATGTCCAGCTTTAATATTTTCACTTTGATTGGGTTATTTCAGAGACTGGTGGCATCGATGACGCTCTTCTCATCACCTTGTTCTTAGTGACCGTCGTCGTCATTGTCATCGTTATATGTATAACAGCAGTTATCATCACTCTCATCAGGTACAGACTCGCACTCTGATTGTCTAGCACCGATCACGCTCTTCATATTTGTATCTAGATCTACCATTCGCAATCAACTAAAATGTCAGGACGGGTGGTACTGGGGTGTCGCTGTCATCATTGCAGAATTCCGTCCCTTAGATGTGCTAGGATTCGACCCGTTTATTATCCTTGGTTAATCAGCACAAACTGTCTCATTGGTTGCCTGTTTTTGGTAATATAAATGGATTAATTTGGGGGTGGATGGTGGCAACTATAAAGGTTAAGGATCTATCGAAGTAACCAGATACACTTTCAATGTCTGCGTCCTGTATGAGAGAAATACTATATTATATAATTAAGACATACAGCAACAACACATTTATAGTGAGTGAGTTTGGTTTAACGCCGCTTTTAAAAGTATTCCAGTTATATCGCGGCGTGACAGCTTAATGTTGGAGGAAAGCCCGAAGTGATGCAGGTCTCAGACGTTTACCACTTCGGTGAAAGCCACGAGTACGGGTATGGTGCTGACAAACCTAGAAACATAATCGGGGCGAACCGGGATTCGAACCCACAATTATAGGTTTCTGGCGTGCCCAAGGGACGCAACTCTGCACAGCGAATTGCGGCGCCTTAGACGACTGGGCAACCCCTGCCCCCAACACATTTATAAACACATAGAGAATTGTTCAACCTCGGCGTGATACATACGCTACCACTGTGTTCGGAGACTGTTGTCGTCACAAGTGTCAAGTTTCCTTGTAACCATTAACCGAGTTTGGTTAAATTGTGCATTTTCCCGTAAGTATTGTACCAAGTTCGTGGTGGTATATGTGTTATACAAGTACCTGTGAATCTGATTTGCCAATCTTATTTCAGAATATAATTAATATGTATTTCGAAACATTTTTTAAACTATAAACATGTTCAAACGCGTTTAAATTCTGAACATGTTTAGATTATGGGGATGTTGTGTTGAGGTGGCCCCATGGTGTTTAGGCTGTGAGACGATTGCTCATTTCATAGGTTTAGACCTAAATGCGTTCAGACAGAACGCTCCAAATGTGTATTCCGTGTGGGATTTAAACAAATTCCTAATCATGTTTAAATCTAAACATGTCTGGTGTGTATTTACATTTAAACACATTTTTTACAGTGTACATGGACAATCTTCCGGTTTTTTATAACGCAAACCGGACGTTATAATGTGTTCAATATTATAGGAGACAAAGGACCAGGAACTCGAAGGACAATCTTCCAGAACCTCGCTACGCCAGCTTTGTGCCTCCAGATGAAGCAGAGGGCTACCGAACACTTGATCGTGCTGTGTGCAAGAACGAATTCCTACATCTTGAGGAACGCAATACTTGTGAAACTGAAGCTGAACCACACTGTGATAGACTGGAGGTCGAGTTGACAGAAGATGATTACACAACCATTGACGGGGTTGCAGCAGTGTAGTATATCCAGTGAATGGTAGCGAAGGGAGTATTGTATATTTGAAGTGAGCTTATATGGTCCGATGGGCCTTCCATTCCGGACGGCAACTGTTGATTTGTTTGTTTGTTTGTTGTTTAACGCCACACCCAGCAATATTACAGCTATATGACGGCGGTATGTCAATAATCGAGACTGGACCAGACAATCCAGTGAGTGACATCATGAGCATCGATCTACGCAAGTGGAATACGATGACATGCATCAACCAAGTCAGCGAGCCTGACCACACGAACCCGTTAGTCGCCTCTTACAACAAGCATATTTTTTACGGCAAGATTGGGTTGTTGAAGAACTATTCCACCCCAGATCTTCACGGGTCTAGGCAAATGTTGAGATAGTCTGTTTATAATAACTTATTAACGGAGCGTTGTTATCCGTTTTGGCTGTACATGCATTGCATACATACCCTGTGCTATAACTTCAGATAACCAGATACATGTTATGTCACAATGCAAATGAGGTCACCTGGTAGGAACTACTTGTAGTTAGCTCCATAGAATGATGCGATGCATCAAAGACTACCGCGTAACGTTCAAAGATTTTTATGGAGCTGTCCCGATGTGTGCGTACATATGTATATCAGCACTCATGATATATATAAATGAGGCAGTTCACTCAGGCATTGTATTCCTACTCGGTTGCTATAGTTACTTAGTGACCTCTGAGGCTTGTCGACGAGTGCTGATGCATTGATATCAATACACATGGGTGAGATTCTATGTATCATCCAAAACAACATCCTTCTTCTTTCAACTGTTTCAATTTGTAAACAGTCACAACCAGTATCTTGAGTGTAAACATCACAGCTAACCTGCTTCGGTGACGTCATTTGATTGTGACATCATGGTAACAATGGCATCACAATGATCTGCAAAGCATGTCTGGAAGTCTGGGTCTCCGGACAAATTGGCTACGGACAAACGAGATGCCACTCGACTGTTTTCATCTCTCTGTTTTCATTGTCAGTGTAAAACCAGGTAGTCACAGTTGATTAATAAACATACCATTCACATAAACGTAATACATTATAGTGGACCTCATAGAGATTCATGCGTCTTGTCTGATTCAGGATTATGGTTTTATTTCTATGTGAGTGAGTGAGTATGTGTGGTTCTACGTCGCTTTTAGCAATGTCACGGCGGGGGACACCAGAAACGGGCTTCACACATTGTACCTATGTCAGACTGGAACCCGGGCTTTCGGCGTGACGAGCGAACGCTGTAACCACTAGGCTACCCCACCGCCTCTGTATTTGTGTATATACATATTCTCTCTTATTCCTGTGTACCGCTTGAGGGGCATAGGGCCTTCACAACAGGTCTCCATCTGTTTCAGGCTTGTGCTCTTCGTTTTGTTTCTCCCCATGACATATAGATTGATCTCAGTTCAGATTCCAGGGTTCGTCGCCAGGATGTTACGGGTCTTCCCCTCTTTCTCTTGCCTTGTGGGCTCCAGTCGTGTGCTTGTCTCGCGATGTTTCCTTGCGGCCTTCTTAGGATGTGACCTATCCACCGCCATTTCCTTTTCTTGATGGTTTCTATTATTGGAGCTTGGTTTGTTCTGTTCCAAGGATCCTGGTTTGATAATTTCTCTCAGGCCATCTTATTTTAGCAGTTGTCTGAGGCATTTGTTGATGAAGACTTGGAGGTCATGATCTGTCTTCTTTGTTTGTTTCCATGTCTCAGATCCGTAAAGCAGGACAGATTTGACGTTGGTTTCAAAAATCCGCAGTTTGGCTCTCAGAGTGATGTTTGTATTCTTCCATATTGGTCTTAAGGTGACAAAAGCGTGCCTTGCTTTTCCAATTCTGGCTCGGATGCCTTCGTTTGCTCCGCCTGTATTCGTCACTACACTCCCCAGATATGTGAAGCTGCTGACATCTTCGATACACATTAATGTTCTCTATATGTTTTTATTTGTGCTCGTTTACATTACAAAACAGAATAAATCACATATTTTACATGTGTGCTGTGTTCCTTATAACTTATAAGACAGCTGGTAAAGTGATGAAATGAATAAAGCTGTCTCTCATTTACAGAGAACCACACTGTTAGGAGAAAAAGATAACAGAGGAGATGTTTTAAAAAAAAATCTTATTCCAGTTTTAAAGTATAAACAGTGTACCGGTGTATAATTTGGTTGAATGTTGATCAAATCAAAATTTGAAAAAAAGTTTCAAATTCTGTTCAGCCATGTTTATGTTCTTGGCACAGGGAAACAACAATAGGCTGGCTATACTTCACATGCTATGACAATATATATATTTATGTCTCCCCTATAGATAAACAAGGGATAAATATCTTTATCAGATATAGTGCTCTGTGAATGTTATCTACATTGCACAATCAAATCCTGTTTTAAAAAAAACCCATTGCACTCAGTTGTTCAACAGGAAGAAACCTCAATACAAAGAGACCCTACATATATCAGGCCACAATTGATGTGCCATTGCTAAAGTCAGTTAAACCAGTTTGGTTCACGTCGTTTTGAACAATATCACGGTTATATCACGGTCAGTCAGCTTTAGTGAAACCCATGGGCATGGTGTTGATAAAACACAGATTATTATCAGAGCTAAATATATCCTTTTAAAACTAAGGGACGCAACTCTACACTGCGAATTGGGACCCCGTGGCTAAGACGTTTCATTTCGAATGAAATTTACAGGTAACATATGATTTTTTCTCTTAATTGTAACTGCATGCCATATACACGTGTGCTTATTAACGGACCGTATTTGAACATTTCCACCAGTCAAAAGTAGTTTGCCAATAGCAAAAAGATGTAGGAATGGAAAGTCTATATATTTCGAAGGATTGCTCAATTCGAAGTACTTTTTACATATGAATGTAAGATTGGAATTATTTTGGTGCCATATACCTTAAAAATACACATTAATCACTTGTAAGATGTACACATTTTACCATAACAATAGCAATAACAGTATTACCTACGTTTTAGAAAGTCTTTGCAGCTCCATTGTCACAAATTGAGCAAAAAATTTAGCTTCCTGTAAATCGATTATCTGATCTTGTTCAATAATGATCACATAGCCTCAAATGCCCTGCCCCTGATTTCCAAAACCGAACCAGAAATAAAAGAGACTATTGCAACTGCCTCATCTGTTTCATATACTCTTAAAATAGTAGGTGGTACTCGGAAATACCTTAAGATTTCCAAACTGTAAGAGCTATTAGTTTCTAGTAAATGGTTCATGGTAATAATGACCAAATTGGAAACACAGTACAGTCGGTAATGACTGTATGAAATCATGACTGTAGATGTTATGACTGACAACGACCTTGAAGGACGATAGATGGGAAATGTGACGTTTTTGGATCAGTAGTGCGTAATATCGACGCAATTGTTAAACATTCATTCACTCGACAAGGCATACTGCGTAAAGGGCTCCCAATGGCGATTTGAGGGACAATGTCCCACTGCAGCGTCTGAAAAAGTTCAGCCATCGTGGTCTGCGGCCTATGACATTGACGCACAGGTCTCCCTGGCATGGGGCAAAGGTCTGGGCTCATTGCTGGCCATGGCATTCTATGGATGTTGTGCTGATGAAGGTGAACATTCACGATTCGTGCACCGTGAGCACATTGTCGTCGTGACAAAACATCGACCCACACAAAAGGGACAACAAAGGGCATCTGTTTGTTTGATTGTTGTTTAACGCGGCACTCAGCGATATTACAGCTATATGACGGCGGTCTGTAAATGTATGAGTCTGGACCAGACAATCCAGTGATAGATATCATCAGCATCGATCTACACAGTTGGGATACGATGACATGCATCAACCAAGTCAGCGCGCCTGACCATCCGTTTGTCGCCTCTTACGACAAGCATAGTCGCCTTTAACGGAAAGCATTGGTTGCTGAAGACTTATTCCACCCCGGATCTTCACGGGTCGTCAGTATGTTGTGCCAAAGGGTGTCAATATATTATCAAATGCTTCTTTCTTGGACAATATGGAGTGGGGTTCGGTCAATTACAGTGATACAACCCCACACCACAACGGATCCACAGCCGATCGAGCAGCCAGGGACCAGGGACGGCTCATCGCAGACTGTGAAACAATGAAGGTTTTCGCCACTGTTCCATGACCTCTGCCAGTTCCAGCATGCCAAGAGCTCCGGAGACGTCCGCGCATTGCAGACACCGTATCGCTGGTTCAAACACAGGCAATAAATGAAGTAAATCACAACTTATGATAAGCAGAATCAATAACATTGACAGATAAATAATGGTGAACAGAGATTAATCGATCTTTCTTGAAAGTGTCAAAATCACGAATGACACCCAACGCATGTGTGTGACACTATTTCGTGTGGCACTTGGAAACTGTCGGATATGTTTTGGTGTTGAGTTATACAGACGTTCTTGCATAGGATGTTTATCGTCATCACTTTGTTCTAATACTTAAGAATTGACTTTCACTTTGTGTGAGTTCATTGGCGTTTGAGTGAAGGCAAAACTGTATGAACGTCGGATCATGTGACGATGTTTGGCCCCCACTCTAGGAACGTTCATACTCCAATGAACTCTTCATTGATCAATTGGCCGATCATCGAAAGGTGGTTATAAAGATGTGTCAATTAGATACTAAGGTAAAATCTAGAATAAAGGGTCTAAATGATCAGAAACAACGCTTCTGTTATTATTCCTGTTAATCGCCTACTGCCGTCGTATCATCTCGTGACTCAAAATATGATGTTGACATATCTACACTTATACCTACATTGACAAATCTACATTCATACCTACATTGACAAATCTACATTCAAACAGACAGACAGACATG